ACAGTCTTGTAGCTCAATTTGGTGTGGCACAAGCATTAGGTTGCAATCCCAGTCGGTTCATAACCACCAGAAACCATTCAGCCAGAATGGGGTCGAGAGCGACCGTAGTCCAGGAGATTCAGCTGGGGAGAGACCCCGAATCTCAGCTGCCTGTAGACTCGGGAGACCTGCGCCAGGTGCCTGTAAGTTTGTCGTGGGAGAAGCTGACGGTGACCGTGCCTGATTCGAAAGGAAAGGTGAGTGACGTGATTGCATTGATTAAATTGAGCTGGCCTCAAATGGCGTTCGACTTATGAAGTGCTTGGTGGCTGATGTTGCTGGTTTACAGGAGGTGCTTGTCTCTCAGATATTGCCAACACGGGTGCTAACTCAGGAAAGGCGAGGCGCCCATAGAGCCAACGGAGGTTTACTTATTCATGGGTTAAAATGGGGATGTTATATGTTTGTTGAGCTTAATCACCTTTCGCACCACCTTTTGGAAGCAGGTACATGGTTGCTATTGCTCCTGAACTCAGTATGCCACCAGCAATGAATGAGCAGTCAATGAGCCCCAATTAATAGAGAAAGCTCCAGCAGTACATCTATGGAAGAGACTGTAGTCCCTTGCAGGAAGGACTGGGTAAAGCTCTATGATTTGCTGGCTTACAAGACGGCTATGAAGAACCGTTTCTGCGTGCCTATTCACTGGAAATACAAGAATGAACCATTTCCAAGCGTCACTGCGCACTCAACTGCCTAACCAGGTTTTCATAGGAGATTCTAGTGTTCAATCAAAAGCATGGAGCTTACAAGAGTAGCTTCATCTTGTCAATCAACCTGCAACGGAGCACCTATTGCAATGGAAACATATAAAACCACCAGCGTAACTTTATTTTGTCTTGAACTTTCTTCCCCATCTTCATGCAGACACGAGAAATTCTGAAAGATGCCTCAGGCTATGTGGAGCCAGGGTCTTTACTGGCAATCATGGGTGCCTCGGGTGGGGGCAAATCCACCCTGCTCGATGCACTTGCGGGACGGCTAGCTAAGAACGCACGTGTGGAAGGGAACGTCCTTGTCATCGGCACCTCGCAGCGCCTGTCATACGGAAACTCTGCGTATGTGACCCAGGTAAGAGGAACTGAAAAAGCAAGAGAATAGTCTGAATACTTTGTGACTTACAGGATGCTTCACTTGCCTTTTTGATGCTGATTTGAGTTGGCTTGTTATTCTCCATCAATGGTGCGCTCCCGCAAAGCCCTGGATGGATTAAGCTAGTGGAAAGTTGTCAATTAAAGAGGTTTGTTGTGTTCTTCTCAGCAATCCCGCTGATTCGGCACTTCTTCAGTAGCCCCTGTAGATAGACTGGCGCTAAGTCACATGGAAAACGCTTTTTAGTATATCTGCGAACACTTGCGAGAGGGTCCAAAATCAAATTTGAGAGAGAAACCAGTGTCAACTTTTATTATTCCTTGAGCTAATTGAGTCTCCATCGCACGTGGTCTAGAACGCTCAAGTTATGACTCGACGGACATTTCGCCAGCACCTGAGGGCCGCTCAGATCTCGTCGTACTTTTTGTTGTTCGCTGCGTCCTGCCGCATTCCGCCTTTGCTACACAAGCCAATCTGCCCGAAGAAAAGCGGACAAAACCAGACCTGGGGACTAGGAGCACCAGCGCTTCACAAGAACGCTTCAACGTAACAAAGCCTAACACTGGCGTCCGCTGCACGGCACTCATCCGTTGCACCATTTCACTTTGTTTCCACTCCCGCAGGACGATGCCCATTTGATCGGCACGCTGACGGTGCGCGAGTCCATCTCGTACTCGGCGGGCCTGCGGCTGCCCGCGAGCTACTCGCGCGCCGAGATCGAAGGACGAGATCGTGCGCGAGGTTATTCAGAAGATGGGCCTCTCCGAGGTGGCTGATACGTACATTGGAAATTGGCACATCCGGGGAATCAGTGGAGGTCAAAAGCGGCGCGTCAGGTAAGGGAGACTTGTGTCAAGCCTCTCTGGAACGTTTGACTGGCCTCCGAGTCCATTTTTAGTCCATTTTAAGATACAGTTGGTTCAAAAACTCAGAACGACAGAGCTTTGGAACATGGGCCTTTGCAAGTCGCGACGATCAGTGTCGTAAGCCCTGTCTGCCGCTTGTATAGGGCGTCGTAGCAACACTGTCAGATGTCCCTTGGATGCATCAGATGCTGGTAACCAGAACGAGAATTTCTTTGCAAAGGCCCTCTTTCATCGTTGAAATTGTTTCACTGTTCTAAGCTGGCATCTTCGCTCTCTGCAGCATTGCAATGGAGCTGATCACAAAGCCAAGCTTGATGGTAAGCATGTCTTCAGCCCCTGTGACTCAGCTGCTTGCTGAATCTGTCGTCATCTCTCTGGTTATTGATTGCGACCATCCTCGATGGATTAAGTGTAAGCATGTTCGCGGTTTGTTTTCTCCCATCCGATACTTAGAAACCGCTTGGTTATTGTTGCTTGAAGAAGTATACCCACCGGGAAGCAGTCAGTATTTGCGGCAGTCTCTTCCGGTCTCCCTAATAAGTACAGTCGAGGCTACCTGAGCAACGCTAGTTAAGCATGCCCCGTGTGTGCACACGATTCGGTTTACTTATCGTGCCTGAAAGCAGTCACGCGCCATCGGTACGAACGGGCCAGGAAGCTGCCGGGCAATTGCGAACTAGAAAGGACCGTCGTTGGATGCGATCAGAGTAACGCGACGAAAGACGAAACGAGAAACATTTGCAAAGCCGTTATCCAATCCTGCAGTTCTTGGATGAGCCGACGAGCGGCCTGGACAGCGCGGCCGCCTTCTTCGTAACGGCCTCCATCCGCAAGCTGGCGTCCGAAAATCGGACCATCCTGGCGGTCATTCACCAGCCCAGCAGGTGCGGGCCGCTTTGTCCTCTTTGCGGCTTTCATTCCCCTTTTTGTCTTGGCTTTCTCCTTTTATTCCTCTTCTGCTCTCCTCTTCTACTCTCATTCTTCGTTGCCCTTCCTGCAATCTTTCCGTTCCTCTTTCTTTTCCTTTTGCTTCATCTCGTCTCTTGCAAGAGAGTTGTTTGTTGGATGCCCGCAACGAAGCGGGTTGCTCAGAAGCGGGCTTTTCAAGTCCTTTCCGTTTGTTGCTTTAATTAGAAGGTACTCTGAGTTGAGCTTAACCGAGTCGGGAACGAGATTCTTATCGGTCGTTCACCTGATGCCCCATAAGGACCGACAGCTGGGCCCGTGTAAATCAGATCCTTTGATCCTTTGATTTGAATCTGTTACATCCCTTTCAAGAACCGGCACAAGTTTTTGATCCTGAGCTGCTCGGCGTTTTGTCCTTGGGTCCTTGAACCAATTCGCTTTCACACAACTTCACGAGCCCGCAACACAATTATATTGCAGACATTGAGGTCGTAGCAACGCACCCACTTCCGGCCTTCCGTTTCCGAAGCCAGAGTATTTACGCTTCTCGATACGCAGTACCTGCTATCGGGCGGCAAAGCGCGTCCGTACCCATCTCTAAGTCAATGATACAAAGATCGCCCAAAAGCGCTCCTTTGACAGCCGTCTTCAAACAGATGTCACCTTTCGACACGTTATGTTTCTTTTCGGCTACCAAAACGCCTCTGCTTCTGTCATCCTTTCGACACTTTACGATCGCCCCAAAACTCCTTTCTTCGACCTTTTGCAGCGTGATCTTTGCTCCAATCAACATTCTACTCTTCCGGGGTGGCGGCAAGACCCTTCTGCAGTCTGTCAAAAAACATTGATTAACAACCGCTCAAACCCCTTTTTCTCGAATCTCTCCTGCAGCGAAGTGTTTGCTCTGTTTGACAAGCTATGCCTCCTCTCCGGCGGCAAGACGCTCTTCTTCGGCGCCGCCAGCCAGGCGCTGCCCATGTTCGAGGCGGCCGGCGTGCCCTGCCCCAAGAACCGCAACCCCAGCGACCATTTTCTACGGGCGATCAACCGCGACTTTGAAGAGGTGACTGTTGCTCGCGTAGTGTCTTCATTGCCCGTTGTTCATCTTGGGCCCCAATTTCACCTGTACCCCCCGGTCAAACAGTTGAGTCCCTTGATCTTCGATGCAGCGGTTGAAACAGTCGATTATCCGCAGAGGTTGCTGGTAATCCAGAAGCATGAAGGGCAGCAGCTTTTGGAAACTTCGTTAACAGAGAGCCTGAGCATCTCACGCGCTTGCCCTATCACATCTTGTCGCTGCCGGGGTTAGAAGGTATTGCAATTGTTGCCGGCGGATGTCTTTGTATAGAAGGCGGGTCCAACAAGGACACAACAGGAGACAAGATCTTTGACTCAACTCCATTCTCAGCCCACCGGAAGGTCATCTTTAATTCTGTCAAGAATCATTGAATCACACAGGCTCTGTCGATCTTTGACGTCACCTGTCGCTGACGTCAGCGCGCTCTTTTTTGGTTTGCAGGTCAAGTCCAAGAGCGACGCGGCGCTCTTCGCGCCCCTCCTCAAGGACGCGGACCCTGCGGCAGAGCTGACGGTGGATGACGTCATCCAGAAGCTCGCGGACACGTATGCGGCGTCCCCGGAGGTGCGCGTCCGCATCGTTGACACTTCTTCAAATTAAGTTCGGGTGATAACAAGTGCAAACAATAAGCAGATTACTTACAGTCTGCTGAAGCATCCATATACTGGGCACAATTTCGGATTGAGGACTATACTGTTGAAATTTGTGATCATGTGTATGGCTGTTTCAGTAGATTCTCCACATCCTGAGCCTTTCTGCCGAGACCGAGGTTTCCAACGCGTCACAATCAGGAATTTTACATGTTGCGCGCCTGATTAGTAAGCTCGCGGCTTTGCCATTCGACAGGAATCCGCCAGGAAGCCAGTGAGACTCGCCCTGTCTCAAACCTTGACTCTAAAACGGTGCTGGACCCAAGACGGTGTTTTTAAAACAAGATGAAAAAGCGAGAACAACTCGTATAGGTCCGTGCATCTCGGCAGACACGCAGCCCAATTACGGAGTTGCCTGACTGCTATGAGAAGAAAGTACCACGAATTGCAGTTCTTCTTGTTGATTTGGGGCAGGCGTCTGAACGGAGGCGAGTTAAGGGCGTCTGATCGTGCAACACTCTCAACTTTTGGAGGGCGTCTGATTGTGAAACAGTCTCAACTTTTTGCTTTTGATAGGCGAGCGAAAGGAGCGCCAAGCTGGCGGCGATTACGGGGATGCAGGGCCCGCCGCTGAAGCAGCTGCTGACGCCATCGGTCGGAACGGCCCTTCGACACACATACATTCTTACCCGTAAGAAGATCCTGGGTTGCTTTCACCTTGTGTTGCATTGCGGATTTGGCTTCTGTCTTCTGCATGAGTTGTTTCCTTCAATCTTCGGGATACCGGTTCCGTATACGTGCCGTGCGAAGATCTACGCGGTCGATGGGACTCTTTCGCTCCCGCCGCCAGCGCTTGCTCTTGATGCCAGGACGCTGTTGTAAAGATACACGCTAGGTTTACCTCGTTTTAATTTACGAGAAACGTGAGCACGTTCGTAAGCATACAAGAAGTTTGGAAAGAAAGGAACTTCGATTAGGGAGAGTGAGTGCTCCGACGCTTCGTGTCCAATTCACAGACGCACTGACGCGCTAATTGTGTCTGAGACGGCTTTTGTTTTTAAGGGATAAATCTCAGTAAGGAAGGATTCTAGAATGAACCCGTGGAAGCTTGTTTGATTGTCGCGGACCATTTTCCCCAGCCTTTACCGCGCAACCTGTTGGGGTAGAATGACGGGAAGCTTAACGAGACTATTCCAAGTTATATGTCGCTATATGTGCAAAATTGACGATCTAGTCCTCTTAAGTTCTCGGCGTGCCACATCCTCCAAGACCGGCAGCTGGCCCACAATCGCGAGACTTTACGCTTTCGCGTCTTAGCGCAGTTCCTGCTTCCGTGTATGTTCAGTGCGCAGCTACACCGTAAGTCCCACAACGACCGCCCCCCAGTGTCTCATATGAACAGGCCCCGTGTCTCCCATTTACGAGCTCCAATGATTGCACAGTTTTTGTCTATGTGCAGTGCGCAGCTTCACCAACATGTGGCGCAACGTGGGCCTCTATTGGCTGCGGGTCGTCATGTACGCGATGCTCATGGTCTGCATTGGGACCATCTACTACGACATCGGTCAGCGCGCTTCTCTCTCTTTCCCGTATTTCTTTTTATCTTCTATTTCGTTACATGGTTATTTGTTTCTTTCTTGCCTCGCTTCTTGCATTCGGCCCCCCAATCCTGAGGGAGTACGCACGTAATCTGCATCGTTTTGTTGATTACGTCATCAATCAGCTCTCTTGGTCCTCTCCATCCACGAGTTCCCCGTCTGGCATAAACAGTGAGACCCCTTTGGCATGTTTGGGACTTTTCCGCGCCTCCAGATACCTTCTGATTTTGTCTTCCCTCCCGTTTTCTACGAAGTCAAAGAACGCACTGGGCAGCGCCGCGAAGCCTCTTGTTCTTGTCAGAGGTTGCTTTGCCACTTTTGCTAGCACTTCTCAGTCTCAGCTTCAAGCTGATTGGACCCCTTCCCATCCGTGCTTCTGGCCCCTTCGACGCTTCTTTTCTTTGTGCATTTCCTTTTTTGCCAGCAGGGCAAGAAAGTTCTGGACAGCATGAATTTGGACATTCTGAGGTTTCCACGTCCTCTCCATCATTTGTAGGATGTACTCTCTTGCATCAGAGATGAGTGAGCACTCTCTAATCTATCAAACAGGTCAAGAGGCCGTCGGATGAATCGCATCTACGTCGGATTCGGAGACTCTGCTAAAGGAAACTTTTTGTGGGTTCCTAACATGTCAACTTGAAGTGCGCCCTTGTTTGCTTTTGTCAAAATATAGTAGTGGTCCACCTCTGACTGACTTGCTTTGCCCTTTTCCATGCTGCAGGAGACAGCTACAACAGCATACAAGCGCGGGGTGCCGTCCTGTTCTTCGTGGTCGCGTTTCTGACCTTCATGTCAATCGCCGGTTTCCCTGCCTTCATCGAGGATATGAAGGTGAGACCCGATCCGCTGAGTTCTGCATATGTTTCAGGTTGCGTTCCTTTGTGCAGTTTGTTCGCTCTCAACGAAAGTCTGGCAGCCACTTTCTGGTGGACAAGTGGGCGCTGACTGCTTCTACGACTTTCTGTAGACCATGTCGAGTATTCACTAGGCGCATTTTGATGAGGAGCGCGACTAATCGTTGGGAAAATTGCAGACCCTCAGGGAGTCAGTGTAGGTTTCGAAGCTCTGCAGAGGCAGGAGCCGAAGAAAGGTCGACATCACGTAGAACGAACTTCATGTTGATGAGAGCATGCGGGGAGTTAGGGAGGTGGAAACGAAATCGATGGAGCTCGGAAATTCAGAACGGCTCCGATCTGAATGCTTCGAAAGGGAGCGGGCGGAAACAATGTGTTCATCCAAGGGCTGCTCGGGCTTTCCGACAAACGCAGTATCGCGTAAAGCGATGTCTGAGCTGTGCAGCAAACAAACCAAGTTTCTGAAAAGCATGTTCAGCTTTAAGAAACGGAAGCAGCCGCTGAAAAACCAGAGAATGATCTTGAAATTAGTGGACGAAGAGTCCAGACCTATTGAAGAGACAATAATCTATCTTTTCCAGGTGTTTACCCGGGAGCGGCTGAACGGGTACTATGGCGTGACGGCCTTCGTGCTGAGCAACAGTTTGAGCAGCCTGCCGTTCCTCTTCCTCATCTCGCTGCTCTCGGCGCTGATCGGCTACTGGCTCATCAAACTCCAGAACGATTTCGGACGCTTCGTCTACTTCGTGCTCATGCTCTTCTCTTCCCTCGCCGGTAAATTTTTCTCTTGATCCTTCCTGCCAATCTCCGATGCTTTCGTTTGTTTGAGTTTGATTCGTCGAAACAAGTACGTTCGACTTCGACGACACTCTTTCCTTACCGCTTCAATCTATAATGCATGAGTCTGTTCTTTGCTTCCCAGTCTACGGATGCATGTCCTCGAACTTTGACTTAAACAAGGTTTTTCCCGGGCATGTAAACCTCAAAAGCTACTTTTTCCTGATATTCCTGCCGCCGCCGGCTTCGAAAATTGATGTTGGGAGTCACGAAGGCTGTCAACATTATTTCCTCACCGTTTAATCGTCTTTGCGATCATAACCGCGTTCTTGGCTTGTTCATGCTGAGAGTATATTCATCTTGTTCTGAGCCTAAGTCGAAGCCCGAATTACCGAAAAGCGGTTTATGTGGTATAAGACATTTGCCACTCTTTCGAATCACAAAGACTGTCTTTCTTAAGGAGTAAGGACTTCCCTCTCTCCGGCCCCTCGCAGTCGTCGGATTCCTGATGATGGTCATCGCAGCCATAGTCCCTTTCTTATTGATGAGCATCGCGTCCGGCGCCGGCATGTTCATGCTCGCGGGCGGCTTTCTCCGGCTGCCCAAATTAGAAGATTACTGATCAATGACATTCAAAACCTTGGAAACAGAATGTTGTACGCTGAAGCCTCCCTTCCATCCTCTCGCGATCGTCAAGTCTTTCATGATGGTCATTACGGCACTGCGGCTGGTGCCAACATCCTGGGCATGTTTCTTCTTGGCTTTCTAGTGATCTTCAAAAGCCTTCTGATCTCCCCAATTTTGACCAACCTTCCACTGCAACATCAAATCCAATCGTGCCCATCTTCATCATGGGCATCGCGGCTTGCGCCGGCGTCTTGAGCTTATTTGTGCTCCTCTGCGGCTTCTTATCGAACCGATCCCCCCTCACTTTCGGATAGAAAGGACTGCTGAAGTTTTCCCGTTCCTCCTTGCAGTTGTCGAGTCCCTGATGATGGTCATCGCAGCAATCGTACCGATCTTCCTCCTGGGAATCGCGGCCGGCGCCGGTATTTTAGGCATGTTCATGCTCGTCTGCGGCTTTTTCCGCCTGCCCAATGACCTACCCGATCCGGTTTGGCGGTACCCGTTCTACTACCTCAGCTTCCACACATACGCGTTCGAGGGCTTCATGACCAACGAGTTCACCGGGCTCACGTTCGAGAACCGGCTGGCGAACTTGCCGCGGCTGACCGGGTGGGTTTGCTTAACCTTTTCGTTCTTCCCGGGTTGAGGATGTTTCTTAACCAACGAGGTACCGGCCTCACGTTCGAGAATCGGCCGGCGGATCTCCCGCGGCTGACCGGGTGGGTTTCCGTAAACCTGCTGTATTCACTGGTTGGGTTTCATTGAGGAAGTTTCCTTTGACCAACGACTTCACCGGGCTCACGTTCGAAAACCGGCCGGCGGATCTCCCGCGGTTAAGCGGGTGGGTTTGCTCAACCCTCCTTTATTCCTGGCTGCGTTCCATTGAACAAAAATTCTTTGACCGAAGACTTCACCGGGCTCACATTCGAGAACCGGCCGGCGAGTCTCCCGCGGCTGACCGGGTGGGTTTGCTTAACCCTTCTGTTATTCTCAGGGTGGAGAGTTTTGCTTATGTTTCTTTTGAAGGTGTTTCAATCTTTCCAAAGTATCGTCTTCGGCTCACGTTCGAGGGATTGACTGGCGAGTCTCCCAAACTTGCGGGTTGTATTTGACAACCTTCTTTCAGAGCTTTTTGCGTCAGGTCTAGTTCTCCGGTCGGCTTATCAGCCGAATGCCGTGTATCTTATGGGCTCAGAGTATACAAATACGAGGTTATCGTGGTCTTCTTTCCGTTTCCAGGATGTTTGGTTGGATGCTCGTGCCGATGTCGTGTCGGGTAGACCTTGCTCCAGAACAAAATGATGGCATTCGAGCTGTATAACAGTTCAAGCTCTTGCGTCGAGATGAGTAATCAATTGGAGCATGCTAATACAGTCCACGGGGCCAGGAATGAGATGTTCCACTGATTGCGAATCAGTCCTCGATTCTCCGCAAACACTTGCAGAAGGGTACACGTGTTGACGGTTGCGTTTGCTTGCATTCGCGAGAATGCTCAAGCGCGCCTGCATCAAAGTCACCAACACCTTTAATTAAGGCCACGCTAGCAGACCCGACAAGGGAGGAGCTTGTTTGCGGCTCACAACGATTTTCATCGGTTGCCCTAAACGAGATGCGAATCCTCGTGCAGGGATCAAGCGTTGGAATTCTTCGACCTTCAGGACAAGAAGAAGTGGAACGATCTGGCCGTCAGTGTTGGGATGCTCGTTGCTTACCGCCTCCTCTTTCTTCTCATTCTGAAGGCGAAAGAGTGGAGACACAAATAGAGTCGAGCAGTTTTGTAGAGGGGTCTGTGGGCAAACCGCCTCGCCTCTACGCCCTGTGGATCAGATGATTGCTATGCGAGCCTCCTTTTGCCGCAGCTCACCGAAGCAGATCAAGTGCGAGTTATTTTGTTATATAACTTAAGATTTCTCTACTTGACCGTGAGCCCTACGAGATGGTCACATGCAGCAGGCACCGGCCCATCACTGTTATTCTTAAACAATAATATGATTGGATACTGTCAATAGAAAGCGGGTAGGTTATTGGAGCGTTACACTATTATACAATAGAAGTCGTAATTTTTAGCATAACTGGTTTACCGTTGAAGTTCAAATGGCGACTCATACCGGGACGGACCAGTCACAGATTGAGCAAGGAGAGGCCTTCTACCACCTCATTGAATAATAAGACGAAAGAGCGCTACAATCTGATTTTATCGCAATTGTCAATCTGAAAGCAAAAGAGATCCTTGTAAGTTGGTTGACCCCCTTCACTGCAGAAGTTTCCCACGAGCCCGCCCGGCCATTTGCCGGAAGGCCGGGCAGCATTTCGACCAGCTAGGCTATACGACTTGATCATCCTGACTCGACTGAGCATGTATAAGTGACCCCACTGTGCAATCATTGATAAGATCCATGCATTGGGCGTAACGCACTGTGCCGGATTGCAACTTCGACCAATTTAGGGCCCCACCACCGTAGATGGCCTTGGGGTGTCCATGCATGGCCTACGCCCACTTTAATTGCTCTGCGCGATCAGATTGAAGCACCAGAACCCAGTATCATTTGTCCGTTTTGGTCGGCGGACCATTGGCATGCATGATTGTTTGAAGGAGCCGCTTACCGTCTTATGAAGGTTGTACTTTCTTTGCATATGCTTCGACAACGTGAGCCCGATCCGAAGTCCACCTTGGCACCTACAGTAACACGTGTGTGCGCGACGGTTAGCAATCGTTGGAAAGTGCTCCTAGCTTCTATCCGACGGCACGGGATTGCTTTGATCGAGTTGCAGATCTTCCATCACGATCTCCGGTCACTGACTCAGGCCCTGGAAAGTCATTGTCCATGGCACTGAGTCTAAATCGTACTATAGTAGATTACCAGCGTATAATGCAGCTCGGAGCAGCTCCCCATGTCGTCAGGTTTCTAAATGAAGTTCAGCCTGAGCGAAGCCCACCAATTGAACCGATCGGATCAATTCGATCCGCGTGCCCAAGCAATCATGCAACGTCGTAAGACTCGAGCAGATCATTCGTCGGTCTGCCTCTTTCTTCTGAGTTTCGATCTAATATTTCGCACATGCATGAGCCCTAGCTAAATCGCTCAACGTGCCATGCATCAATAATAACGTCCTAGCAATCGATAGCGGGAGCAGGCCGGTCCACAACTGAGCGGCGATTGCAAGGTTGCCTACGCCTGAACTCAAATCGAGAGGGTAAATTTGTATTCCGGTCAAAGGTAGCTAGCCGGGCAATCACTGCCTGCATGCATAATGACCTCCCACCACACCGAAGAGGCAGGTCGAGCTTGCTTGCTAAGCTTGTCGTTGAGATGGTCAGCTGCCCTTGCGCAATGTACAATTCGGATGGCTGTCTACCTATGCTCGCCAAGCCTCATGCGCTGTTAAAACTTCGACAAAATCAAGGACCACGTCAAATAGTCTGTTATATAGCTGTCCCATCGAGAATAGCTCAACGGGATGGTAATCTTGCTCAACTGCCTCTCCCAAAGAATCAACATGCACCCCCGAGGGTGGAACGGAAGCTAGTCCTCTGAAGCATGTCAGATAGTCTGCTTAAGAGGGCTGGTCATCCAACGCTGACCGGCTGCAACTTTCAACCCCATGTAAAGATCGCCGACGCCCACGTCAACCCGGCTCCAAACCCTGCCGATGCAATCACGTCACCGGGTTTGATTTTCCCACCCCGAACGGCTTCGTCCAAAGCTAGAGGGATGGAAGCCGCGCTGGTGTTGCCGTAGTTGGCTAGGTTTGAGATGACCTTTTCGTGCGGAATGTGGAAGCGCTCGGCGACGGCATCCAGTATGCGCTGGTTGGCCTGCGTTTCGAAAAGAAATACTCGTGAGCGACAACACAACAGCTAGAGGCGCTGTATGGACTCGGCAGCTTGTGCGAACACGTTCTGCTCATAAGAGTTGCAAGCTTCATTGAGAAGGGTTATGGTCGACTGCTCCTCTGTCAAGAACTGTGTCAGGAGCGATTTTGCTTGGACCGGTGCTACAAATGGGCCTCCATTTTCTGCGTAATTTCACCCCAATTAAATGGAGTCGAATGTCTTAAACTAATTTTACTGGTAACAGGGTGTGCACCTAACCGTTAAAGAGGAGGACAACTTGAAGCCGGGTTGTTCATACTCCTTGGCCCCACCTCTATCTAGTGACCAGCGTAAGCCTTGGTCGCCAATTGCGGCCTCGAACAACAAATCTAGAAAGATAGGAAAAAGAGAGAGTCTCTCCCAACAAAGCAGAGCCCCATTACGCAACACGGATTCAAATCGGATATATCCCGAAGAGACGACAAGGACTTCGACGTCATCGAACATGCTGACGTAATCACGGTGCAAGCGCAACGGCTCACCTGGTGCAATACTAGCCAGTCGATGTCGTCCGTCAGCAGGCCCGCCTCCTCGAGCGACGCAGAGACCGTTTGCGGCACCGCTTTCACCGCAAACTTAAACACTTCCCGCCCGTTCATCAGGATCGGTTGGAAGGACCCCCGCGGGGGCGCGCCTGCATTCTCGGCGGCTGTGCACTGCAGCGGGGCTTTGAGGCTCTTGTAGCCGCCGCCGTCGCTGCGAATGTCGTACCCCAGCAGCCGGTCGTCGTCCCCCGCGGTAGCCTACGCAAAAAAAAAAGTGACTTTGCATCGATCTTTAGAGATGAGGCTGTGTCCAGATCGGAATTACGTTTTGCTCGCTAAGTTTCAATGATTCGTTTTCTGCCTGTAAAGCTGCAGAATGCGACATTGAAGTGTCCCAGGAGTGCTTTTGCACCCAGGTGTTGTCGCGTGGCCGCATAGCATAAATTTTAGGTTCTGTATTGTTCTTGAACTTCTTTGCGCCGTAAGGTTCACAAGGGGAACCCGGCAGATAAAATGGTAAACCAACAAAACGACGACTGATTGCCATCGCTTGCAGCAGCCATTCAAACAGCAAGGCGATAACTACGACGCTCTGGCAATCTCTACTTTAGGGGCGAGTGCAGCTTCCATCAAGCTGAGTCGTGACGAGTTCGATCAACACAGATGCAAAATTTCGGCCGCTTGATAACCTGAGAGTAGCCATCGGACGGCCCAGGTTCTGCGATTGTCCACGGTGGGACAATGGACCAAGTGGCATGGCTTGACAGCGCAGCCGATCCTCCCGCTTCCTTTGTATCGCCTCCATTATGCCCGTTATGACGACCGCATTTCGTTTTTGAACTGTAACGTTGAGGGTTGACGATAATCCGATTAAGAACCTGGGAGCCAAAGCACTTCCGAAGCTGAAACGACGACTCAAAAGACACCAGCTCGCACCTCTTAGAACTGTCAGCGGGCAGATGAGAAGCATCTCACCTGAACGAGGACCGCTCCTGCCCCGTCCCCAAACAAGATGCACGTGCCTCGGTCCGTCCAATCGACGTATCGGGACAATGCGTCCGCGCCAATTACAAGGACGTTGTGGTACTTGCCATCTGCATGTTGAAGTTAGCGCAATGTCCTCAAAGGTCTAGTGAAACGGCTCCGAAGACGACGCATGCACAATGGACCTTGTTATCCGCTTCGGTTGAGGATGCAAATGCATTGACACAGTAAAGGCTATCTTTCAAGAGGAACGATGTCCTTGAGGGATTGCCGAGTGATTCTGCACAGCCGTTAGATTGCATACAAGCCAAAAGGGGGGAAACGGAGCTGAAAGCGCCTTTCCAGCGCTTTCACCAAATTGAACCAACAAGCTGAAGCTGGAGGACCTGGCTTGCTCAGAGCAAAACGCAACTCTGACGGGCTATTAACGGACCAGAACCGTTGACTCTCTGATTACTCAAAAGTACGGGCGCCCCAATGAAGGAGCTGGTTTGGCAAATAGCACGGAAGGTAAACAGAGTCGAACCTGAGGGAACAAACGCAAGAGACGCGGCTGTTCTTTCTGAATTAGAGTGCTTGCAAATGGGCTTCCAAACACAATCATGAAGAGCGCAGCCAAAGGTGTCGGAGAATGCTCACCAGTGACCCATTGCCGCGCATTGATGAGGCCGATGACAAACCCACTGCAGGCAGCCGTCAAATCAAAGGCGGCGCCCTTGGCGCCTATTGCGCTTTGAATCTGTGGCACGACGAACAAAGACAGAGTGATCGGAATCCTGTGGCCAGATTGGTGTTTTGGCCGCAGGGGACCAGAACGTGTTGGAACTGTTGTAACGTTGAATTGTTTTGAAGAAGCATGCGGAACATGTTACTAGGCAGAAAGATGGATACACGTCTGAATGAGTATCGTCATATTTACAACTGCTGCAAGGTTTACACCAAACACTTTTACCATACACTCTGAACAGGGGTCACAATGGTCAATTTGACTCTCTTTCTATCACATTGAAACGCTTCTCTCACGTTTTCTCTCAAGTGTTCTTCTCACATTGACGAAATTGTCAAACACTTCCATACCTGCGTGGCACTCCCAAAGAGATCGTCCGGGCTAGACGTGCATAGCAACACAAGGTCAACGTCTTCGGCCGCGACACCCGCCATCTCAAGGGCGCGCTTCCCCGCTTCGGCAGCAATGGCTGTCAGGCTCTCGTCCTCTGCACAAAATGTCGTAATCATCTTGTCATTTACTGCTTCAAAAGAAGACACAGTTTGACAGACAAGTGGATAAAGGGAGCCCTCAGCTGCAAGTTTTAAGTGACGCTTGACCCCAAACCCACAATTGTCAGGTTACTGAAAAAGCTTGGAACTGACTTTCAATGTAAGCGACTGGAATTCCTATTTTTCTTCCAAGGGAACATGGGATCCTTCGTCCTCAACTATTCTAGCATCGGACCTGGAAGCAGTTTCAGGACTTTAATCATTTTTTGATCCAAAGACATACTACGGGATTGCAGCTCTCGACTCAGTCAGGCACATTTGACATCTTCCAATCTGCTCTACTTCTAAAGACATGAGCCGAGGCGTACTGCTAACAAGTATGCCCCTTGAGGAGAACCTCGCTCACAAGGAGAGTACAAGCGCTTGAGCAATCTACCAGACGACGCTCAGAATTTGAGTTTGGAGGCTGTATAAATCAGTCGCGGGCACTCCTGCGCATAGCTTGCCTTTTTAGCCTTGAAGGAGAAGCGCCGCAGATGATGGACTCAAAGGACGGTTGAACAGAAACAAACTAGGCAAGAAATCGATGACAGGCAACTGAGAAGTTGCTACCAGACTATACTCATGAGAATGTAAGAAAGTGCCTCACTTTGCAACACCTTCCTTGCCCTGATCCCAGTCCGCGTAGCAATCCACTCGTCGTTTGTATCCACAAAAGCTGAGAGATCATCATTTGATAAGGTGGTGGTTGGTGCCACTGACCCAACCCCAATGAACCGAGCCCCTTTCGCGAGCCTGCATGGTCACAAATGAAACTATGCAAATTGATATTCTGGTTGGTAAGAAACTTCAAGGGCGTAAGAAATCTCATGGAAGAAAACGCTGTTAATCGCTTCTGCACTCCATAAGGCTACCGAATGACCACTCACAAGGGTTGATCAGGCACTCTGATTCAAGTAAGGTGAAGTACCGACCCTGTTGGTGAGCTCCAGAAAGTATTTTGGCTGAAGCAAGCACGGTGCTGAAAAAAGAGTGGCTCATTTTTAAGTGCAGCCGTCTGATCAGTGTCTTTCATGTCCGTGGTGACCTACGATTGTGACCACTGTATTTCATGCCCAAACTGTAAGGAACCCGGCGTGGCAGCACTATCAAGCAACTAATTATCATAATCTCAATCGTTGCGGAGCTTCGACAGTGTACCTTTGTCACTAGAGGCCAACAGGTGCTGGAAGAAAACACTATAAAGGGACAAGGCATCACCGACCTTTTCCTGCGGACTGGCCGCACTTTCGGTTCTTCAATCACATTCAGATCCATATCTGGACTGGCCTCCGTGGCCACACATGTGATCCGCCTTACTCCGGTTTCTCTGCATTGACTCCCCTGAGAGACGCGCTTTAGTCTCTCTCTTGGACAAAGGGGCGCTATATCTACACTACCAAAATGTGCCAAAAACCTAGGTCTTTCGGTTGTACATCTTTCTGAACAACGCTGGGAGAGTAGGAGCCCCGCCCTTGTGCTCTGACCACCTAAGCGAGCTGCTGAGCTTGCCATTGAAATGAAACCCCGTCCACACACTCTTCAGCTCTTCAGCTTTTGTGCAATTTTTTCTAAGTGATCTGTGCCGTGCTGATGAAGATCCTGCGGCTAGGTGCAACGACCATTTCTTCCTGCAGTCATTTGCAGAGTCCGCCAGGCCAGAGCATGCCTGGCGCCAAATGCAATGTCGCGCCGCCTCCTACGAGTGTCTCTTCAGCCAAACATGGGCCTTGTCATTCACCTGCTCATACAGGAGCTCCCCACATTGAAGACAAAAGGCGCCCTAGTTGCAACTTTCAAGTTGTCTCTGCCTCAACCCCAGCTTTTGCCAAGTTTTGGCAGCAGCAAGCAGAAATTAATCCTGGTGCCAAGGAAGACCGGTCTGATAAGGCAGATCTTCAATCCAAAAGAGCACACCTAAATACCTCCAGCATGGATGTAACGCGGAGGGAAAGAAAGCATTGTGCGTTACGCGTAGTATAAGTAGCGCTTGGGCGGCATCTTCCTCGATCCATGCGGGCATCCATCGTGGCATGGGGCGTTCATGGTCATCGCTAGTTTGAAGCACACAAACCTTCTGGAAGGCGAGAATCCGCCACTTTTCACCATTGAAAGCAGTTGAATTTTGATGAGGAGCACTGTGTCTGCATGAAGCCCTCTAATCTATTCAGAAAGGATGCATGACCCTGGGTCCCGCATGACAGGCCATTGATTGACGAGGAGTCTTTGCAGGAAAGCAAATCAGCACGCCGAGTGGTGATCTGCATGCCCCTTTGCATACAGGGTACCTGCAACAAGGCTTGAAAAGCGTTTGCCATAATGTTAGCTGCTGCAGCCAGCAATGCTGCAGCGAACTTGGGCCTCTCCAGGGCCTCCGGTGACGCCAGCAGAAACTGTGAGGCCGATAACCGCCTGGCTTGGAAATCATATGTAGGCTTCCGGCATGCTGGGTGTCTAACAAGGGTAGCTGAAAGTCCGCAGCGGAGATTTAGATCAGGCCAGATAGAGCGAGAGCAGTGTCTGAAAAGCCGGAGACAATGTGGAAAGATTGTATGCACGACGGCCAATGTGGCCAGAGGCAGGTTCTACTTGAATGTGACGGGGTTCCCCTTTCCGCTTAACCCGCTCGCATTCAGGCGAACCGTGCGTACAGAGGTAAGATCAACTGTGTTGTTCTGCACTTTTTCGCAACACTTGGCTCTCAAAATATTTGAACAAAGTTGTTTGCAGAAAGCGAAAATTGCATGTTTGTATCCAATCGGTAAGATGGCCACCGCGGTTAAGTGGGAGCCGAGTCACATGTCATGGAGCATGTTGAATGTACAAGCTGTGGTACCACCACAGCATAACCACTTTGCGGTACTATGTTACTGAAGCGTCATCAATTGACAGACTGTCGTTGAACCCACTGCGCCTGTCTTGAGAAAGTATGCTTCAGTCCACGTGATCCGCAAAGTATGAATTCGACCTACCTGCTTGCGCACGTTCTTGAGTAGCTTTCTACCACCTTCTCATCGAAGGCCAGTGACTTCGGTGCATTTGAGCCTGCGCTGGTGGTAGTGCTCCTACTGATTTGTCCACATGCACTTGCAGGTTGATCCTGGGAGTATTTGGTTCTTCGAACAAGAGCAGGGGCTTGCTGGGACTAACGTAACCACAAACGTGCGCATGACTGTAAGTACCTGCATGACACTTGAGCTCAACAAAGCAGTGGCTAGAAAAATTGTGTTGCAGCCTGGAAAGAATCATCTTGGTGTTTTCGGCATTTTCTGTTTTGGTTTGTGTGCAGAAACCACAGGTGATGGCAGTAAGGTGTCAGATATCTTCAGACAACTTCATCGATCGGAAGAAGTGATGTCAGAAAGTGCACGGCAGTGTTCGATACTAGCCCGCTCAGATAGAACGGCACCTTCAAAAACTGCCAAATGGTTGGGCTATATGCGCAAAGCACTACGCTTGTGCTACAAGCAGGCAGTGCTATCAGATGAATCTCCTCTGAAAACGTAGAAGAGTTGGCCAGCGTCAAATGCCAGCGTTGCAAGTCAACTTCAAAACCTGAGTCTTCCACGTCTTCTTATCCAGGCTGCTTCAGTCTCACGTTGAGTGGACGCGTTCATCCCGATCGCACTTCGCTTTCTTCCTCTCCAATCCCCCAGAGCGGTGAACACCTGTCCGCTCGCATGTTCTCGTCCCCAGGTAATCAAATTGAAGAGCGGGGGACTTTGGGTGCACGCCCCCATTGCCCCCACCGAAGAGTGCGTGCGACTCATCAAGGAGCTAGGGGAGCCGGTCAAGTACATCGTGCTCACGACGTATGCCTACGAGCACAAGGTCTTTGTGTCGCCATTTGCGAGGAAGTTTCCCAAAGCTCAGGTAGGTCGGAGGCTGGTGGAACTGGCTGTAGAATTTGGTTGGTCTTCAGGCCCAGGCAGTTGCCCCTGCGTTTCCATCTCTTGTGACCACTCAATAACGGTTGACTGCACTATCACAGGCGGATTCAATAGTCAGCAAGCATGTGGGCCCTTATCTACCAAGGGATGAATCTGTTTGCAATCTGCTCAGATGGGCATACTGAGGCTCGGCAACTTCCAGGTTTTTCCTCGGCCAAAACCTTCCTTTCGTCTTACGTTTGGAAAGATTTCAACATCGCTGTTGCTTTTTTTTTTCGTGTATGCTGGGCAACTGAAGATTGCCATCTTGTTTATGAACATACTATTCTGTTTCGTCGATATGAGCTTATAAGATTGTATGAGTGAGGGGCTCGACTTTGTTCCTTATAGATTGTAAACTTCCTTCGAATTGTGGCGTGAATTTGCTCTGAGGTCTATTTCGCGCGTGTCAGAGGGTCTGAGTCTCGAAGGGTCTACTTCCAAAACTGTTCAGTCTCCAATTTCGCTGTCTAGGTAAAGGATTGATGGCACCTGTACACCCAATCTGCCTAATCCATCAAAGAATACAAAATCGAAATCGAAAAAAATCTGTCATCAGTCGCGAACTGTACTACTCCCCCCTCGGAGTGGAACAAAGTTCAGAAGGAATCTGCATCTCTTCTTGATAGGTGTGGGTAGCGCCTGGACTGTGGAGTTACCCGATCCCGCTGCCCGTTGAGGCGTTTGGCATCTTCAAGGCGGGTACGATTAAAGACGATGCGACAGAAACCCCCTGGCAGGACGAGATTGAGCACAAGGTGCTGGAATCATCCCCTGTTGGTGAGTGTGTGTGCGGGCGAATGGTCCTGTGTGTTGAATTGCCCGTGAGAAGTAGGACTAAGACGTGGTGGCATCCAATGAAGTCTCGCATGTACGAGCAAAAACTGGAAACGCATACACAGAATTACCATTCATCTCAGTGATACAAGTCCCGCATGTCAGCATATCACTTTCCGTATTGTGCTAGGCGTCTCGGCAACGATGTGCTGTCAGTACGTGTCTAGACGATTCGACTGAACTTCTATACAAACACTTGCTGCTTACGTGTAAAATAGTTCACCGGCTAAAAGATTCGGCGTTGCTTCTTCGAGCTTCTTCCGAGCGTGCGCCGAATGTTTTCGTCTGTACGTCAGGCAAAAGCGCATCAGTTCTGCGGAAAGCTCCTTTCCTGCTACTCCGCTATCCTTTCCTGGGCCCTTCTCTACCACGCAAGAACGCTTGGATTTGCAAAGCCGGGCCCTGTAGTAACGCCCTGTATAGGTTCCGTCCCAGGCATTGGCCCTTACGTGGAGCTCGCCTTCTTTCACAAGGCCTCCAAGTCACTCCTCGTCACCGACGCCGTCATCCGAGTCCCGGACACTCCGCCTGAAGTAAGTCAGGGCACGTGGTTGTATCGCTGCAATCCTCTTCTATGTCTTAACTAACTGCACAAGCTTTTTGAGAAAGTTCTGATAAACAGTGGATCTAACTATGAGCTGTAAAGATCGTGCGTCAATCGTGCGGAGGAGTAGTGTGACAGTATGCGTGCCAAGTGCACGCTGCCAAATTTTTATGAGACGTGGTGCTGTGCGTGTTTCATGGTTTCGTGCATTTCCGATTGTTTGGAGCTTGGATGCATTGTGCGACGCTCTACTTTCCGCTGTCCAATCGAGCGTACTTCTTGAACTTCCCGTTCAGCGAAGCGGCCATCCTCCAGAGAGGCCTTCTGCCAAGAAAAAGTAAGTCCCGCTGAGTTTAATGGAATCGTAAGAAAGCCGGTCTTTCTGGCAGTCGGGGGCCTATTGAAAGAGCAGGCTAAGTGCGGTATAATATTGTGCTCCGGGCAGGTTATTCGGAAAGAGGCTTTGCTCGACTCCGCTCGAAACGGCGTCGTCGTAAGCTTACGAAGTGGAGGGAAGCCGATACCAGACTTCAAGCTGTTCCCGGGATCAAATCGGATCGACGATACGGAAGAGAACAGGCTTCTAGGTGAGCGTCCAATTATTGTTTCAAGACTTCTCATTCAGGTGAACAGTCAAAGGCTTGCTCACAAGAGTGTTGACAAAACTGCCATAATCAAGTCGATCCTGACCGTTGTTAACCGTGATGCGTTCTGACAAGGAGTCGAACGCTGCTTAGATGTTTTTGACTCTGCCTGACGCCTGAATGCGAGTCGCGCGGATCTGCAGCGGCCGTGTGATCGTCACAAACCTCTCAGGTCCAACTGGACCAAATGTTTCAGGTAGTAAAGATTGTCCACACACGCTACACAGGAATGCAAACGGACGCTTCTTGTTTATCCTTCTCTAGCTTGTTCTTTCACTCAGGGATAGAAATGCTTTTACTTATTCAAGAGGAACTAATATCTGTAAGACAGTCGAGGGGGTTGCTTGGGGTTGGTATCGGTGACCAGGTTGCTTTGTATATGGAGCGCATGTTGTTTGTGGCTTGAGGATTACGGTCACGCCCTCGCACAGGGTACTTGCTTTTAGGTGTCCGGATTTGAACCAATGAGAGAGCTAATGAACCTCTTCAATGCTTGTACTACTTACGAATATACAAATATATTCTCTTTGTGCAGGGTGGCAGCGCATGCTCCTGTTGGGGCTGTATTTCGGACCGTCCGACCTGCTGGACCCGCAGGAGAGCTTCCGGGCCATCGCCGGACGGCTATTGGTGTCGCCCGTCGTGCGGACGCTTGTGTTCACCAAAATTCCGGATGAGGTGAGTGGTCCGAGATGCCGAAGACATTTGTGATTCTTAGGCAACGGTTTGTTCTACGTGCAGATCACGTGCGACTGCAGTCTTCCCGATGCTAGATCTTCGTGTTCGATCGAAAATTTCCTAGTTGTGCCCTATCACCTTCTCGAAGCCGAAAGGACAAAAAGGCCAAACGCACTCGTGTGGCTGGACCACTATCTATAATCTCACGTGTACTGGCGAAGGGTGATCAAGAAGCTTTAAAAAGCTCTTTCTCTGGCGCGTCGTCTGGAAATGTGAAGCACCGGGGTTTCTCTGTTGGCGGATAATGTTTCCGAGAGAAGGAGCCCCGTAGTGTGTCGTCTCGTTCACAAGTCCGTTTCCTGGCTTCAGCAGCTGCATACGTTTGCGTCCAATACAGTAATATAATGTCTTGGGCTTCAGGCTGAGTGTTTCTCGAGATTCTACATCTGGATGAAAGCATGATGACCGGTCAGTTTCAGTTTCAGTTCAGCTTTCGATGAACATGTTTAACAAATAAGCGGACGGCTTCAAGAAGACAAATACAAAGGAACTTCCTCAGTGAGTGTTGTTCTGCTGGATGCTCCTACCTTCATCTCGAATCGTGCAATCTCAATCATTCTGCGAGATCCCATTCCACAATCCCCGTTCCACTCTCCAGGCGCTAGACTGGGCCGATCGCATTGTGAAGGACTGGCGATTCCAACGGGTTATCACGTGCCATCTTGACTCGCCCATCGCCACGTCACCCCGAGAGTTTCGCGCTTGTTTCGCCTTTCTAGAAGAACTCGTGCCGGGCCGACGAAAAAAGGGTTTGCTTGATTTCTTCAAGGCAAAAACACAAAACACAGGCTTCGTGGAGGAGGATTTTGCAACGTTGAAAGGCTTGGATGCGTTTCTGGTAAACCTAGGTGTGGTGCCCAAGCCAGGGCCTCGAAACTAGGGCTTCCGAATTTAGAAAAACATCAAAATGAACGATAGCCTTCGTGTAAGCAAGTCACAGATGACAACAGCAGTATAGCTTAATATACACTGTCCTCCTTGATGATCAAGCATTCTTTCAAAATGGATACGACATGGAAGTTTGGATGCCCTGAGCCTTCAGCTTCAATCAATATGAACCTACTTAGAGGTATATACCATAGTTTAGGAATTCTTAGAGCGGGAATGTTATGGCGGCTCGGATTGACACGAATTTGGAGAATGTTATGAACCTCGAAATCAACATTCGGCAAAAATTCGCCACGTGTCCTAGTAGTTTCATCGTCGTAACATGTAATATGTGGTTTTTACGGCTTGTGACATCGAAAGTTGACCGATTATCCCGTTGTAGCTTCTTGGTAAGGTTCCAAAAGGTAGTTTTACCCTTCGGACATATCAAAAACCTTCTATTTTGGCGGGTTCTAGGCTCCTATCGTCCTTCTGAAAATTTGCCGAATTTTTGACAAATTTCCGACGAATGTCTTGTAGCGGGTCATAAATACGTAAATTCGCGAATGTAAAGAGTGAAAATGACGAATGTCTATACTATGGTATATACCTGTGTACAATACGTAGTTCCTGGTGCCTATGTTGAGGCAGCAGCTTGCCAGGAACATGTCAATCTGGAGCCACGAGTGCGCACTATTATTGAATGCAAGTGATTGAACATCCGTATCATGCCACGCAACTCTGGCAGATTTGTGCAACCCAATGGAGCCAGTGTTTTATAAATTAGCATGTAACGGATAGTATGCACTGCAATCTTTTTGCGGAGTGTCATTGAAATGAAATATACACACGCAGACAAGGATCTATATACGTACCGGGTATTGATGCACTCATGCATGCCTGCCGGGCAGCATGCAGGGGTGCCTACGTACTCTCACGTGCACAATTATAATATAGTATCAATGGATGATAGCTGTATTAAGCTACATTCTATATACTAGCTTGAAGAGCTAGTGCATTGTATATACTTTACCTAGCAAGACGGCAAGACGTATACCGGCCCCCATAGGGCGGTATAGTTTGTAACCTCGACCATGGTGGCGCTTTCATGCATGGTGAACTTGATGAGGCTGCAGCATGTTGCAGCCTCATCACCTGCAGGCCGTGATATATGGGGGCCTTTGAACTTTGGAACCGTCCGCATGTAATGATCATAATTGCTAACATTGCTTTTGCCGGCGCATTGTTCAATGCGCAAGCAGTCAGTCTATAGCCGAGGCTAGCACTGAGGCAAAAAGGTCAAAGAACTCAGTTGTAAATGTGTGAACATCAAGTGTTCCAACCCCCTAGAATCCTCTGTGTCTGAACAGTCTGACCCGGGAGAGGTGCTCGGTACCACAGCTGTTGACACCTCCGGTCACTGCAGCCTAGGTCACCGAGCCTCGTATTTGAGTCGGGTGAATGCTCGGAGTGCCTGGCTGAGATGACCGGACTTGGTTGTCATAGTTGGAACCGCTTTAAGCCCCTTCATACAGGCCAAAAATACAAAAGCCTTCGCACGCCTTGGATACATTGCCCGGTGGGTTTGACCGGACGATGGACTTTCATAGCCCGGGCTTGTGCAGCGTATCTAGGTATCTCGGTACCAGGTACCGAGATGAAGATGTTTGGCTCTACCGGTACTAGTATTTGCACACAGGGTTTTCGAGATGCAATCGGGGTCGAGCGTGTGTTACGGGTAAATATGAATCGGGTGGCTGAGAATGTCGGCCTGGGTCACACTTTCCTGTTAACACTTTTACAACTGAGTTCTTCGTAGGTACTACTTGCAGCACTGAGCTTTCAAAAAGTTCACCTAGCTTGATTTCCTTGTTGAGCAGACAGATAATTCAGTTTTCTGAGTTGATTTGCATGGGCGGCTGCAGTACCCGGGCGCTTGCACAACGTTCAGAATTTTTTTTTGACCGGCCAAAGGAGTGTGGCCGGTCATCGACCACCAGGTCCAGACCTCCACTTCAGCGCGCGGACGTGTGTGCCCGGGAGATTGGGAACCGAGCTCGCGGAACCCTATTTCTGCAGGAACCCTAATCTCGTTGTCCGCGTCTGTATGTGAGCACACAGGAGAAGGCAGTGATCTGAAACAATCCTACTCATCAGACTACTGGGCAGCTGCGACAACAGCACAGCGTCCATAAAGCTGCCTTTCTCAAGTAGTCCAGATCATGATGTGTTGAACGCCTACTGCATTATGCTTATATTGCATGCACTGTTTGTTCTCGTTCATGCAGCCCCCTTTCAGATAATATTTCCCAAGGCAATAATCAAAGTATGAAAGTAGACGCGGGAGTGCTGCTGTCTTATGGCAATGCACCAGAGACCTAAAAGCTGCCAGCCAGGAGCAAGATTCGCCTCGTCAGCATCAGCCGAGTCTTGGTTGACTGAGAGCAGCAGAGAGAGTTTTGCTGGTTCATGTTTGTCTGGGAACAGTCTTTTTGCTCGCCTAAGATGCTGCTGATGCAAGGAAAGCTAAGACAAGATTGGAGGGAGCACGAAGCTGCAACCAATCCTAGCAGATAATCCTAGCAGCGAGCGGGCCAGCAACCTGTAACCAAATTACAGTTTAGCTGGGTTTGCACTCCTGCTCGCATGGCGGTCACGGTCTCTCAAGAAGCAGCAATGGATTCTGCCGCATCTTCTTCTGAGGGGCCGCACCATCAGGATCCTGACTGGGAGAGACTTCTTTTTGAGAGCCGCCTAGGTTCGGTGCTGGTTCTGCCAGCCTCTAGCAGCCCTGAAACTGACCGCGCGGTAGACGTCAGCATGCGGGGCGCCAAGGGCGCAAAGGCGCTGATCCACCCCGAGTTCCGCATCTTCATAGGCTATGACGCGAAAGAGGATGTGGCGTTCCAAGTCTGCAAGCAGTCCATTCTGAAGCACGCCAGCGTCCCTGTCCACATTGTGCCGATAAAGCAGAAGGATCTCAGAGATGGGGGCCTATACACCAGGCTCAGGGACCCTACAGAAAGCACGGAGTTCAGCTTCACTAGGTTCTTGACGCCATATCTGGCGGGGTACATGGGGTGGGCCATGTTTGTGGACTGCGACTTCCTGTATACAGCGGACATCAAGCAGCTGACCGAGTTGATAGACGACAAATATGCCGTCATGTGCGTGAAGGTAAGGTATTGATTCACCCTTGAATCGTCTTCTACTTCCATGTAAGGTTGTTCTTCTAGGTGGGTGAGAAGCTTGGGAGACCTGGGTCACGTCAGGGTACTCTTGCTGCTGCCTCAACAGCGTCGCGTCCGCGCTTAAGCACTTCAGCTTTGCTCAATGCGCGCAGGCTGGAATCTTGTTGACATCTGAAGATTCGAAAAATTCAGGTCATCCTCAGTCTGCCGCCGTCATTGTGAGCTGAATTGGCATCACAATGTTGCATGAGTAAGTCCATAGAATTTCAACATAATCAGGTCCTCGAACAATGCTGGCTTCTACAACCAGATTGGCGCGAGCTTCTGCCATCTCTAACTCGCTTTGCTCGCCTCTTCCAGCACGACTATGCCCCCACTTCTCCTACCAAGATGGATGGTCAGATCCAGACAACGTATCCCCGCAAAAACTGGAGCAGCATGGTTCTATATAATTGCGGGCATCCCAAGAATCGTATTCTCACCCCCGAGCTCGTGAGTCAAGAAAGTGGGGCCTTCTTGCACAGGTCAGTCAGAGCTGCCTTTGTTTCAAGCCAACTGTCAGGAAAGGTCAAGGAGCCGTTTCACCGTTTGGTTTTTATTGCGTTTTGCAGACTCTGGTTGAAAACCTCACGCTGCCCACTTGCCGCAAAAGATATAAAGCTTATTCAGGACCTAGTCTGGCAAACCTCAAAAAGCCGTCGTCATTTGGCAGCTTGCTTCAGCTTGTTTCAGGACACAACTCGGATAAGCTCGACACTTTGCGCTTTACTGATTGCCAAAAGTTTCTGATTTGCAAATTTCAGTGGTATTGATCACCAGGATCAGGTCTCGCGCCTGCCTGTATCGCCCCACCGTTTGCAGAATCACCATAGGCGCTTTTTACCATGGCCTTTTGGAATAGCTGACCGAGCGTATTACGAGGTGCATCGGAAGATCCGTGAGACGTTTCAGCCTCGGTTTATCGTTGCGTTAAGCCAAGGGTGTGTGCTTCGTACTGCGCTTGAGATCCACTAGCCAAGCCACTTCGTATGGTCAGATCTGGCAGAACAACCTCGATCCACTTCCTGGGTATCGTTTACCTCAGCTCAGTCGGACCTTTACGTCTCCAGCCGAACATCCCCCTTCCTTCCCTCCGGTAAAGCAGCTTCCCTCGTCAAGTTACCCGCACGAGTGCCAATAACACAGTGCTTACTCCCTTCGAATTACATCTTACGGAATGTTCTCGACATGCAGATTCCAATGGCTTGACGACGAGGATATTGGGAACGTTCCCGAGACGTGGAATTGGCTGGTGGGGCACAACAAGCGGCCAGAAGACGGCAAGCCGCCAAAGGCCATTCATTACACGTGCGGGGGGCCATGGTTCAAGGAGTACGCCCAGTGTGAATACGCCGAGCTTTGGGTAGCCGCTGAAAAGGTGAGCTTACAGCGGGAGCTTCCAGAATAATGAAGGGTTTATCCTGTTCAAACGAAGACGATCTTGTGAGCAACTGCAAAAGGGAGCGATCGTTTCGCTCCTTTGTTCCGAAAGTTTGCGGCAGTTGGTGCGCGCTTTCATCTGTTTGGGGCACCTTGAGGCCTGAAAAGATTGTTTCTCTTAGGCTGAAAGAACGAGGACCGTGTGTTGACCTGCGAGTGGGTTCACACCATGCCGATATATGACTCAGCGCCGTATGGGACACAGCATTTTGGGTTGATGTGAAGGATACAATATTGTTGCAGTTTTTTGGTGTCCATGCTGAGTAGCGGAGGAGGCTAGAAAAACTAAACAGTGTCATCCGAAGGAAAAATCCAAAGGGAAGGCTAAGCTCGTCTCTTCCTTCATCGGCCTGCTCAGCTTGCACGTGTCTGCTTTTGATGCAGGAGCTCGAAGTAGCAGGCTGCTCGGCCCATTGAGCAGGCGGCCGACTAACTTAAACTAACCTTATAACGTCCAGGCGCTCGAAAGATTGTCTGCGTCGAACGAGATACGAACGGAAGAGTTTCTCGAAAGAGATTGACCCACGATTGACCAGCGCTGCATGAATATTAGGTTTCTAGTCTAACGGTTTCACCGAGCTGCCGCATTGTTGAGAGACTGCACCTCGAAGTTGCGGCATTGATTAGTAAGGGGATGAGATGCTGTTGCCAAACCACGTGAACCTGAAATGAAGAAAAGTGCCGCATGAAATGCAGCGCACCTCACAGCCTGAGGACCAGGTTAAGAGGACAGTGTAGGAAGAGCACGCGATAGTACATAACAAATGGTCTGCTCGTCATGCTCGACGCTTGCCTCTTTATGAACTTGAGCTCTTACAATCAGTGAATCCCCGCCAGGCTTTGCGCCATGGTTCAACGGGAAACTTCCCACGCGACGCGTCAGCATATGATTCTATGATCTCTTGAAGCAGATCTCCTTGTTCGAAACTCATGTAGCTTGCATGACATGTCAATGATCAGCGAAATGAGTCTAGGCGGCTGCGTATTATGATCGGAGTTCACTAGCATACGTGCAGTCACTGCATAGGGGGCAGCTTACCGCTGGCCAATCTCTGACGTTTTGGGAATTACGAACTTGAAGGCGAGCTGCTAGACAGAGTACGGTACGTGGTTATGAGGCTCATGCACTAGCCGGCCTGCATGCATGTAAGCATGCTTCTATGAGTAGAGAGTGGCCCGCGCATAAGGATACATTCAACCATGATTGAGTTTATCATCTCTACTTGGCATGCAAAAAGCTGATCGAGGCTGGGCCCGGACCTTAATTGAGTTCAATTGGGCCGGTTAGACGAGCGCGGTTGCCCCAAACTTTCGAAAATCATATCACGTACAAACGGACAGTTGCCGCCGGCCTTGTTGCTCAAGTCGGGAGATTGATGCAGTCGGACTCCGGCACGTCAGTCTGCGCGGCGGCGTAGCTAGCTTACATAAGTTGAATAAGGTGGGCCTATTGCATGCGAAATTGGAGGATGCTTGCATTGACCCGCCATGACAGATTGCAGGGAAAGCATGGACAGATTTGTAAATGTGCATCTCATCAAAGAAACATGCCAGATGCCGTCATAGCATGAATGGAACCCAGCCGTTGAGACGCTATTTGTTTGACTTGGATGTGACGGTATCTGAATTAAGTTCCGCATTGCAGTCGCCGCGCGGCTTATTGTTGCTAAATCATTGTATGCTGATTGTTCTTAAGATTGTTGCAAACGATTGCTGCCTTAAGTCACATGCACGACCATACACGTCACACTGAAAGGCAACTTCCCATCCTCCGTGATATACAGTGACAGAAATGGGTGAGCACTTGAATGTTGCAACACCATTTGCAAAGATGGCCACAGTTGATTGGCAGCATTAACTTCGCGATGATTCTGCATCATGCTGATCTGCTCAAACCTTCGACAAAGCCCCAGTGGATGAATGGCTTGTGAGTGAATCAATCATCAAAAACCTGTAAACACTTGCCAAAATACCCAGTAAAACTGTTACATGTGTATCTTCGATTTGAATATTTACCGGTAGGCCAGGTAAGGCAAGGCTTCCTTCACGTTCCGAAGGTCCCTCTTGTCAACCAACGCCTGTGAAGCACAAAGGCATCAAAACGTAGAGTCTCAAACTCAGCACATATCAGACACAAGCCCAGGATGCGCTTTCATTGTCGGGCACACGACACAAGCATGGTTGGAGAGGACAATCTCAGCTCAGGCTGTTGAGTTAAGATCTTGCCAACGGCTCCAAAAGGATGTAGAAACCTTCATGGTAAGGCAATCGTACGTCTTTGGCAAGGGATCTTGGTCCCGAAGGAAAGAGCCCCAAAAGTAAGACACTCACCATCTTGCCGAGCCTGTTAAGGCGCAGCCTGCTCTTCCGCTCGTTCAGATGCTGCTTGCCGTTCTTCCTCCTGACAACCAAGCCCCCTCCAGTGACACGGAACCTCTTTCCGGCAGCCTGCACAAGAATGCAAACGTCTCTGACACAACTTCAAAAAGATGTAACTTATGGCTAATCTCCCGTGTTCTTCTGAGGACCATCGATGATACTTAACGCCTCTACTAACTTCACTCCCAGAATAGACTCTCTTTTTGCTTCCCGTCCGCTGCAGTCACAAAGTTGGATCTTGCTGCGCTGGCCTGAAGTCTAGCCAGTGCATTCCTTTTCAAAAACCGATAAGCAAAAGCTTCCTCAAAACGAGCCAAGTCTTCATGTCAACGTGTAACGGCCGACTTTTTGTGCTTCAAGGTAATTTGTGTCAGTCATATTGCAGCGGACAGATGCAACTGAGGGGACTGAACCCCTTGTGACTGCAACAACCGTCGGGGCCGACATCAACCTCTTCAGCATGCGCTCAACCGGGCCGAGTAGTACATTTGTTATAGGACAGTTACATGTAAACCTGCGCTTCTCAGGATGTGGCGCACTAACAACTCACAGCTCCATCAAGGCCCCACTGAAGTTGGTACCTAAGCTGGCTAATGCAGCAACAAATTGTCTTTCCATAAATAGACACAGCAATCAAAAATGGATCCGAAAAACTTCCGGAAGCGTTCAAACATGGGATGCACAAAAATCAGGAGGAGACAATGAAACAGCGTTGGGACTTTAAGTAGCACATCCGCCTGAACAGGAAGCTGGCCATGGATGAATAGCTCCTCGACCGACGCTGTGTCCATTTCTGGCCACATTAAAATGCTGAAGCTCAAAAGCTAGCGCATAGACTTTGATCGGACAGGGTAGTGGAGGACGAGACTCACAAAAATGTACGACGGGACCATGACGCAGAGAAGTCACACATGTACGTTATGGACAGGTTCAGCCTTTGACGGTCTCCCAATGCGAAAAAGCGCTCTGGAGTGGCTTACGCTGTGGCTCCGCAGCTTCTGCTTCTTCTCCTTTTTAGCTTCCACCACGAGCCCCTTCTGCGCCGGCTGCACAGCAACCCTCCTGACGGCCACCGCAAAACCATTACCATTTCTAGCGGACCCCAGTCTCCCCATTCTGCACTGCTGGGTCTGCATCGAGCTGCTTCCGAAGAACCCTAGCGCGCGGTGCTGGGGTGCGCACGACGGCCGCATCACAGCGCGTGAAACTGCAAAAGCGGAGCTCATGCGGCTCAATGCAGCCACCGCGGCCGCCATTGGGCCTCCCTGATGGTCCTGGTGGTCAAGCTTAGCCGCAGCGCCCTGCCCCCAGAAATATAACCTCCTTTTCGGTGCGCCTTCTTGCTCAATGCTCTGGCCCTTTGCCTTGCCCGCTGAGCTTGCTACACGCTGCGCTGGCTGACCTCGTCTGCACGTGACGAAAGGCACAACTTCTGACGTACAAGGCCCCGAGACTTTGACGACTTGACGAAGCGAGGAGGAGCAAATGAGGGACTCTGCTTTCGACGTCGAACAAACCGCTGCTAGAGACGCAGGCCTTGTGCCGGAGGGAAGCTTCACATGGGGACGTGCAGAGCACGTACTTGCGCAGAATAACTTCATGCAAGTTCAACTCAGAATTGGTTGTTGGACGACCAAAAGGCTCCGAGTCCTTTTGGGTACATGTATTATGGCAATGCGCTCTTGGCGGCTTTTATACGGTAGAAAGGTTTGCTCCGGGAAGGTTTTGGTGGTTTCTCGCGAGTGTTGGGTCACAGCATTGTGCGGCACGTCGAGCCAGCAGAGACCAGGAGGGTCCGATGGAAATGCAGGACATGCGCGCTTGATGAGTACCAGCTTCAAGACTGAGACGTTTCACATCTGATCCTGAGTAGCTCGGTGTGGCACCGATGGCCCACATGAATGCAGGGCTTGAAAGCAGTGGAGCACCAGAATCTTTGGAAGGTGCGGTCAAGCTGCTGAAACCCTAAACCTTCATACTTGCACATGGCGCTGTCTCTTGACGGCATTGTCTCGCTGGCCCTCTGATCTTGAAAGAACATTGGTCTTTGCAGGCGGTGAGGACTCTGCATGAATTTTGCCAGCTCGAACGTTGATAGATAAGCGCCTTTTTCAGAAGCTCCGCCTATGGAACTGTCTGCCTTGTCCCTTTTCCAGTCCTTCGCGGCATGAAATTGTCTGCCTTGGCTTCGTGATTCAAGGCATTGCGTATTATCCCTATGGAAATGGGATATGCTGACTCTGCAAGGAGGGCCTGGGATAGGGAGCCCACTTTGAAGATGATGCTTGGATGCATTCCCCGTCGGCACATCTTCAGCACCTCTCAAACCTACGCCCTCAGAGCCTCAGTTCTAGCCAAATTTGGTCCTCTGTTGAAATTTCACTGATAGTATCTTCTCTTCTGGTTCAAGGCGCAAAGACACCGCCGCTGGTAGCCATCATCCCCGCTACCAGCCAAGTCGGCAGAGCTACAATTGAGTCGCTCTTAGCTCACCACCCCGACAAAGTTAGAATCAGGGCTGCCGCGCGTAGTCTCAGCCAGAGTGATGAACTTAGATCATTTCAAAACCTGGAAATCATCGAAGGAGTGGACGCGTTTCTGCGTGAGACGCACGAGGCGGCCTTTCGCGGGGTGGAGCGATGTTTCATTGTTGCGCCCAAGCTGGAGAACAGAGTGGAAGCGGTGAACTTGCTCATGGGCAGCGCGCAGCGGTGTGGGGTGAAGCACGTTGTGCTCATAGGTGGGTAAGTCGGCTTGAAACACATTGTAGTATCCAATCCAACGGTAGTTCTGGCAAGGATAGTGAAGCATTTGGATCTTCAGTCAGGAACTCAAGTTGAAAGGCCGCGCTTGTTCGGTATCAGGTTTAAAAAGTGAATGCAAGGCAAGACCTTCAAACAGTTTCTGAATCCTGTCGACCCTTCTCCAGGGAGCCACTCTCAACCAAGCCTTTGGACATTGTCTGCACCACTCTTTAGGCCCCGATTCTGAAAATCTGAGATGCGCGGTAGAAAATTGCACTGACAGGCGTTTCTTTCTTTTGAGACTGGAGCTCTGTTACAAGAGTAAGTCATCCTTGCAGTCAACGTCCCTATTCCATGGATGTTTTGAAGCTTATGCAACCCAAACTTTCAGTCATTAGACCTGTCAAAATCGAACTCGCTCTCAATATGGATGATGCCACTCCGTAGTCAACGGCAGAAGTCAGATGACAGCTCATGCAAGTGACTTTCCGTTGCTGGTGCAGGGTGTTCCAAGAGGACGAGGTCGCACTGGCAGGAACATCAGCGAATAGACATGTGGAAGTCCGCAGCATAAGCTGGAGCTTCAGAACTGACTTCCACTCTCCTTCTTGTGCAGGGTGTTCCAAGAAGACGAGGTCTGTGTGATGCACCAGCACTGGCAGGCTACGAAGCGGCATGCACAAGTTCTTGGGCTCAAATGGACACAGCTGCAATGCGTGGACTTCATGGAAAACGTCCTTCAGGTGGGCCTCAAAAACCGAGCTTGTGTTTCGTGCGTTCACCGCAGATCAAGTTCGTGTGCTTTCCAAGAACAGCTTGCAGTCAGTGGTGATATTGCCGGTCAGCGATCACATGTAGGGCCGCGGCAAATTGCTGTTCCACATCCGCTCCTCTTTCTGTCGAGTAAATGCAAGTACCTGAATCGATTGTGACCGCTGTTTTACGTTTTTGTAGCGGCCTTCAGAAGTAGCTCGTTGAATGGGAACGTGTCAGGAAACGGCTGTTGTGATTAGGGCGACGTCCAAGCACTCCTCGTCTGTTAAGCACTCACTATCGTGCTTCATCGCGGACTCGATTTCTGCAACCCTTTCCCGAGTAGATTCTGAATTGCCGGCAGTCGACTCACCACCGTCCTCTTTCACCACGAGCCTCCTTTCCCATCACCCGTTCTTTGAAATGCCTTCCGCCCTGTCCGAGATCGATCTGCCACGCTCTTCTCCTTGCCAGTAGACACGCCGCCCCTCCCGCGAACTCAATTCTAGAGTTGCCGCCCGTCGACTCACAGCAGACCCACAATCGCTTCCGAGACCCAATTCCCTACACAGATCTCGCCCTTTTCACCAGCTGCGGCTACCTCCCCTTTGCAGCACAGAGCCACGATCGCTTCCGAGAGCCGAATGTATGGCACTAGCCGTCTTCCGAACAGTGGCTTCCTTTGTTGGAGGGTAGACTCGTTGGCCAATTCACGATCTCAATTTTCAAGTTGCCGCCTGTCTCTCTGCAGCACAAAATAACGATCGCTTCCGAGAGCCGAATGTACGGCACCGGTCGCGGCGGGCGCTCCCCTGCGGTCGCCGTTCATGACATCGGCGCGGCCGCTGCCTCCGTTCTGGCATGCGATGACGACCGGCACTTCGACCGGTCGTATCGCATCGTGGGTCCGGCGGCTATCGGACCGGACAATATGGCGGCTGCTTTTTCGAACGTATTGGGACGGCAAGTGCAGTTTGTGGACTACGGCTTGGAGAAGTGGAGGCAGGTGAGAAGTCGACAGAGGGGAGCTGCTGCGCGACATTCGCGACTGTTTACGGAAATTGTCGAAAAACCGTCGTGTGGAGTCGGGTTGAAGGTTTTTACTGGATACGAAGCGTCTGAAAAGGCTGTGGTTTCAAAATATTGACTGATTGTTTACAGAGAACGTCTGCTGGAGTTTTGGAGGCGATTGAGTCGTTAGCCCACACGCGCTTCGCAGAGTTCTCGCTTATGCATGAGATGATTGGCGGATGGATGCTGGTTTCCGTGGACCCGTTAGCTCTGCACGAGCAGTCTGTTGTCGGAAAGCAAAGCTGAGACGTCGAAGCGACGCTTAGCACATTGTAAACGTCCTCGTCAGCGTGTCTTTGAAAGTGGAGTATTTAAGATTGGCCGTCAAATGGAGATCACTTGCGTCATCAAATCAAAGTTATGGGAGGATTGATCGAATACAAAAGTCCAGACTTGCTGCATGTGCAATTAGTTCTCCAACGATCTGAACAACCAGTTTCCACTTTCTCGGGGATATTTTTGCGATATGTTTCTCCCCGAGACAATTTGTTTGCGGCAGCCCCTTGTGAAAGAAAAACTTTCGACACGTCGATCGTGGAAGCTCATCTTTGGCCGCATGTTGTGTCCAGCTCCCGTGTGCCCTTATCAGAGATGCCTTCAATTTTGGTCTAGCAGCCGCGCCAGTGGTCTCGTCATGAGAAGTCTCGTGGTTTCAAGCTCCCACTCATTTTGTGCGTGTTCTGATGCAGGACGCTCTATCATTGAAAAAGATGCCCGAGTGGCAAGTACGGGGTTTCTACGACTGGCTCAGGTTGTACTTCCTCACGGGGAAGCTAGCAGACGTAAAGTCAGATCTTCCTTTGTTAGGGGTGCAACCAACAAGGTTTGAGGACTGGTTACGTGCCCGAAGCAGTCTTTTCGAGGGCGCCGACGAGACGGCTGCTGTTGCTCGTCAGAAAGAACTCGTACTAAGTTAACTAGATGCAAGACGATAGTCTATCAATGTGCGCAGGTCCTTGGTCACTTCCCTGGCTCGGCTATTGCTGGGTGTCACGGTCATGGAGTCGTAGTTTCAAGGTACATTGATTTGGATATTAGATTGAGAGCACCTGTTTCAACAGGAGCAAGTTGTTTCGACGAGTATAGTCCTTGACAACATTCCATGACGTTCTCAAGTAGTAACCCGGGCCGTCAAACCATGGCAAGTTAATCGCGGGACCTCGATCAAGCACGGCGGCAGGTCTTGTCCGCACACGTGATTTGTCACACTGGCTGGCGCGGCCCATGCAAGTTGGACTCCGACCGGGATAGCGGCAAAACATCTCAAATCCATATGCGTGATGCATGCACTATCTCTCTGCATATGAAAATTCATGAGTTTGCGTGGCGGATCTTGCAGCAGCCCTGGAATTGCGGATGCACGTGTTGTGTTCTACTGCTGCCCGGCGCACACTTGAGCGCTCGCCGGCATCTGGGAACAACCCTTTCCGAGGTTCGCCAACTTGGCAGGACTACAAGATGCCGCGACTCTCAGGCTGCCGCAGTGCGGCCCGTCGATCCTCGCAGAGTCATATGCATCACTTCTGTGCAAAGTGCACAAGCCTTGAAGCCGGGAGTCAGCATATACAGTGAACCTAGAAACCTAATTGCGCGCTATTCACATGATGCCTCGTTGATTGATATATATCGATCACAAACATATTATGGCTGCCGGGCGGCCCATCGGCCGACCTGCCATGCAGGGGCGCCCACGTACGCGCTCACAGTGCAAGCTTTCATAACTACGTCTTAGAGCTCGAAAGCCAAGACCCGCCCTGCTAGGCTAGAAATGTGAGACTAACCGAAGCCCACCGTCCTGCAGATGATGAATCTAGCGCTGTACTACAGCATCTTAGCTTGACAAGGTCGATGACCTCCCGCTGAGTCTTTCAAAGGTACACTCAAACGCGCGGCGGCAGCGCTTCGCTTGTTACCGACCTTTATCCTGCATGACCTTACGGCACCAAAACCTGACTCACTGATGTTAGCACTCTGGCACCTACTTACAAGTACGCTAACCCATGCGGGTTAGACGGCGGCACCCCCGGCAGGTTATCGAAGTCCACGTCGAACCCTTCGTCCAGCACCATGCGCGTCCCGTTCTCGGTCAGGTTAGCGACCCTAACCTTGTAATCCGCAGGCGGGGCGATCACCCCCATGTCCGGCGGCATTTGAATGAAGTAATTTGCGACGACGATACGATCTTCTTTGGGCTCTAGCAGCAGCATGAAATGTGGCCCAGAGAACGGGCCCAGCTCGAGGACATCTAGAACGGCGAGCTTTTCTGGGCGGCTCGCGTCGAACATGTAGACCTGGCCCCACGTGTTGAGCGTGCCCCAGAGGCGCGTTCCGTCCGCGCTTATCGCCAGAACGCACGGACCCTGCAAAAGCGCGTTGGCAACTCGATGTTTGTTCTATGTTTGTGGGCCCATTCCTGGCTCACCTTATATAGTAAGCGCATAAGTTGCGAAGTTTGTTCATTCCAAGCCCAGTAGTCTGAACTACTACTCGGCTCCCATTCGGCTACCATTAATTCCGATCGATTGCTGCAAAACTCATTTCCTTCAGGTTAGGCCATCCAGCCACGATGACCCTTCATTCTGGCTCAATAGAGTGCAAAATTCCGAGGAATGTGCCAAGCGAGCCAGACGTACCACTTCAGGCGAAGCGAAGACGTAGGTCGGTTCCGCCGTCCCGGCTACCGGGTCGATGAGGTAGATCACGCCGCCCCCGTTCGCGAAGGACCGCCCAGAGGGATCCCCCGGGATGAACTTCACGTCCATGAAGCCGGTGTAGTTGCCGCGGTGCGTCCTCCCGGTCACTTTCGTCACGTTGATCGTCTGCGTGATCTCCATCGTCGAAAGCTTCCACATGCGCACAGTGGTTCGCCCTCGGGGGATCCCCCCGGTCGGTCCCAGCACGAGCGCAGACGCCGGTTCCATGTAGTCGGTTGTCACCATCAGATCCGCTTCCGGCCTAATGTCGATTCCGTGGGGGTTCATTCTTCCGCGCCCACGAACTGTCCCCCCCGCTGCGGGAAGACTCCCTCGTAACTATCCGGCGTCCCCCCCGAAAACTTCACCACCCCCCCGGGGGTCGACCCGTTAGCGGAGCCCATCATAGTGCCCACGAACCCCCCCTCGGGGAGCGGCTTCCAATCATCAGCGGCCGAGGCGTCTGGCACGTCCAGGGAACCAACGTACGGCGGACACGTGGCGTTCGCCGATACGTTGAAGAAGTAGACGTCGGGCTGCTTCTTTATCATGCTAAACAGCCCCCCCACGATCAGCGTTTTCCGGTCCGCCGATAACCCCATGTGATGCGCCTCATTTCCCGACGTGTCTATCTCGCTCACGCACAGCAGCTTCCCGTAGTTCTCGTTCCGGGGGTCTAACTCAAAGACCGCTAGAAAGTCATTTCCTTTCCACTCCCTAGGGCCCGCCCAGACGTACAGCAGAGACGGCCCCTCGGGGCTGCGAACCGGTTCCCCGGGCTTGACGATGCAGCCCGCGTCGGCTAACGTTTCGGGGGGGTGGCAAGGGCATGTGCCCGGTCGCTTGCAGCAGAAGTGCGCGGACCGGTCGGCGAGGAAGCACGCGGTGTGGCCCGGGGGGCACCGGGGGGGTACCGGGGGGGGGCACGTCGCGGCCCCGTCGAGGCGGTCGGTAAGGGAGAGCTGCGAAAAGAGAGCGAGAGTGTTAAGAAGAAAAGACTGGAGCGCATCAACGAAGGCAGGGGTGCGATTGTCTTAAATGGAGAATTTTTCGTGAAGTGCGGGGGGGTGGCGGACAGAGAAGCTTCAGAAGGGTACGCGGTTAGAGGAACGGAGGCCGCTCTGCGAAGAAGCTGACGAGTTCAATGACTAACGTTTCGTTAATTTTCTGCATGATGTGGATTCACGGCGTCCATTGACTTTTTGCTTGAGGAGGAGCCGTAATGCGTTGACGTTTTCAGCCGGGCAGCTTCTAAGAAACGGCGATCAGCAGCCCTGCGGAAAAGGCATTCAAATTATTACGAGGAGATCACAGAACTGATTTGGTATCCAAGGCTTGATCGCTTTCCCTGGTTGAGCTTGAGTCTCAAGTTTAAAATGGAGGCGAAGAAAGATCGAGCCATTCGTTGAGCGACGCCGTTCCAGGTTACCGGCACACCTCAACGTGTTAGCAGTTGAAGTGTTTCCTTACTGCGGCCAACATGTAGGAGCGGTCGATTTCAGAACATCGTCGGATTCATTTTCGGCATAAGACTAGAGAAACGGACGGTCATAATGAGGACATAAGAGGGCGTTTTGAAGCCGGAGTAACCCTGAACCTTCGCACAAGGTAAGAAGCAGCTCTGAATGACCGAACTCCTGACAGAAAACAGATGTTGGAAACAGAACAAAGTTGAAGTAATTTCCGCAAATCTTCACTGTTGCAGTCCTCTTTGGTTATCGAGCTTAGCTAGTTCATCGATGACGGGTCAAAGCATCCCTACAAGCTGCGGTCCATACCCCGAAGACCTGCGAGTCGAGATTGAGGGTACGGGTAACAAACTCACGACCGATCTGAGCGTAAGTTCAGAAAGCTTCAAGAAGATCGAAACACTGAAGGCCGACGGATGGAATGGAAACGGTTCGCAGAGATCAGATTTGCTCACTGAGAGGATCCATCAAGGGCAAGAAGTCCGCCGCACGACCATCTGGGCAGGGGCCTCCGTAGCTGGACAGAATTTCGGCGCTCGCTTTCCCGACTTCGAGGTCCTTCTCTCGGTGGAGAGTTTTCCTCGGGAGAGCTTGAGCGGCGACCTTTAGGAGACATGAGCGGGTTTCGATCGCCTGTATCTCTAAGACTGGCGGCTTCAGATACATTTCTGGAACCGGTGAAACAGAGGTTGTTGACAAAGAGCAACAAAGGGCGACTTCTTCAAGAGTAATGGAGAAGACGCAACTGGAATCTTAGTGTTAGTCGCTCAGGAGGCTTATTATCTGTATCAACGAAAAGAAAACATGACGATCCACACTTTCCCGTTTGCGGAGTTTGCGAGCTTTGAATCTGGCAAGCCAAAAAGACAGCCAAGCTTCTTAAGACCTCGATGGCGAAGAACATGATGCAACACGCTCTGGACATGAAAACCGATTCTGGATGAGCATGCATTCTTAGCTACTGAACTGCATATTAACGAGTCTGGAAGGATACCGATGACTTCGCACAATGCGGAGAGAACGACCGTCGATTTGAACAATCCATGCCAGCACTTCGGGGTCAACTATGATGGTAGGAACTATTGATAGAGTCTTTGGAACTTGCACGGGTATCAAACCCAAGCAGGAATGGAAGGGCCGCGTTCGGGTATTGTCTGCCATGCACTGCATGCACTACCCGTAGAGACACTGGGCACCTAGAATCTCGATGTTAAAATGAAGAATCCTTTTCAGACCCAGAAGCTCTCTAAGGAGGCAGAAAAGGGGACCTAATCAGAAGTTCCTTGTTAAGGAGGCAGAAAAAGGAACCTAACCAAAAGCTCCTCATTCTTGATCAATGCAAACGGTCCGCAGAGAAACATGACCTCACCAGAGCGCATAGTGTGAGGAGGACGAGAAGCGTCGTCTTCAAAGCGGTCGCCATTCTGTCAGCAGCGTCTGAATCAAGAGCTTGAGAGCTGATGAGCTGCCCGCACAGATGTAAACAAAAGTGAGCTCGTACGAGCACTCTTTTTGTGCCCCCAAAGCGCACTCCTCCTTCTCACTTTACCCGATGCTCAAGTCCAGCTGTTGAAACTTCACCAGACGCCACGAAGAAGTCACTACTATAAGGTCCTCAATCGCCGCTTTCTAACCACGGCTGCATCTGCAACTTGTCACGAGGACTTGAAACTTTCGGTTCGGCTTGGTTCGGCTTGCAGGAGCTACCTGTAGTACGCGGCAAGAATCATGAAAGCTCGTATAGCCCCTTTCGCGTGGCACATGTGATTCTTCCAGCCAACCCGTGCCAAAATTCTCCTGCCAGCTCTGATTTCTTGGCTGATTTAGAGTCTCGTCAGTCTCGAAAAGAGTCGAATTGGCACGGGGCAAGCACACAACATCATCATGAGGCTGCACGTCAGCAATCAACCTTCGTGCATCGGTCCTGCTGCCGAGCTTCGATGCATGGGCGTTAGCCGTAGTACTAAGGTCTGCCTAAACCAGAGTCGAGAGAGCAAGTGGCAGAGTTCAAACAGAATCCGATTGCATTGATCATGACGGATCGGCGTATTAAAAAGTGCTGACGGCCAGGCAAGGCAGCTGCGCGGGGGCCGCACAGATTGTACGTTGCCCTTTATCAACGGTCGAAATCAGCATGGCTGATCAATTTGCGTGCGATCGTAGCTCAGGCACCGTACGCGTATCAGATCTTGCGCATGTTTGGATGATATTTTGTCAAATGCAATTGGCCGGTGGCAACAAAGTTGCAGATCAAGGCCGGGCAAGCTCATTCACCCGCGCGTACTGCACGCTCGTAAAACTTGTCGGAAGGTGGTGGTATAATCAGGTGCATGCATGAGGACCGTGACCCGCATGCACTGATGGGGACGGGTTGCGATCTGGAGATAGGGTGCACTAGTGGATGCCATGATGACGCCCTCTATAGTTCATTTGCCAGACTCAGGGCACGGCAAGTCGAAGTTGGGGACCTGGTTTCCAGGCTTAGGAATATTAGACCGGATAGCCCGGCCAGCGGGGCCGCCGGAATTGCATGCAGGGTTCACGATATGCGAACCTAATGATTTCCGTTGATGATCTGACGAGATATACAAAAGCGCGGCCCTATATGTGCTGCGGCTGCATGGCAGGCTCGAGTACAATATCATCGAGACTGAGCAGTTCCGACCCTGCCAGCTGCCACGCGGCGGCTTTATAGTATGCGGGCAGTCATTCTAATATTGCATGAACGGCACGACTGCACATGTAGGTACTAGTTAGCTAGACTGACGTCACATGCGTGCCGAGTCGTACATGTCAGACCATAGTACGTGCAATATAGTAGAAAAGCTTCTTAATGATCATCGAATCTTGGCAGCACAATGACGTACAGGTCCAGCCAGATAACGTACTAATGCTCAGGCACGGATATAATGGGGTCACAAAGACCGTATGAAGGGCTCGACCGGAAGATTGAGCAGCCGCGGCGCCTGGCTCCAACCGGCTGACCCCGGCCACTGTCATTGCGCAAACCCATTTCCCTCCACCTTGCATCGCAGTATGCACGTGAATTTGGAAGGAGAATGAGCCGCTGGCCAACCGTCCTCAGCCGAATAAACTCGCTTCCATTCAACGTTTTAACGGCTTATAGAGCACCACTGTCACGTACTTCGACCGGAAGCGGTGCGTCACCCCTAATGCTAACACCGACTTGCTCGTCTTCGTTTTCTCGCAGTAAACATGGTTCAGAATCACATGCTGCGGTCGGGGCAACGAGGTCGGGGTATCTATGGACGGGGGCACGTTTAGCAGGGTAAGCTGCAAGTGAGGGGGAACCCCCGGGGGCTCTTTGGCGTAGTCTTCCGGCCCGGGAAAAGCGTTGCTGTAGCTCGTGGGAGGAGACCGGGGCGGCTCGAAGCCCGCAATGTTGTCGAGGTTCTCTGGCACATATTCCTGCAGGTGGAAAGTCAAGCTGGCCGGTGAGGTCAAAAGGGTGGAAGTCCCTCGCTATTGGCCTCAGATTGTGGCCAGTGGCGCTCCTTCGCGCGTTTGAACCGATCAGCAGGTGAAGCTCACGCGCTAGGTCAGTGCCCGGTTAGAACCTGAGCAGTATAAATTTCAACGAACCTCATGTCAAAATTCGGAAACACGTCCAAATTCCAAGATTCCCAGACTCGAAAGCGAGCGTTTGTTCAGATATACACGCAATTAAAACACGAACTTTGTCGCCAAGTGCAAAAGAGGACAAGCTGGTCTTCGTTTGCCAATCACTCCCTTACAAGGAGGTCAACCCTTCTCGCCGCTGCCGTCCGGGCACTTCGAACACGTTGGTTGACGTTTTGCTGAGTGTTTGATTAGCCACACCCAATTTTCGCAAAAAGCACACAGCGGATGTCCGAACGGACCAACGGGGGCCTCTCTAGAGCTTCTAGAAAAGGCACTTCGAGCCCGTTCTTGACACTCTGCTGCCTTTTCTGCTGTTTGTACGGAGACCCTTGCACACAGCGTCAGAAGAAGCAAACTTTACACCGTTCCGAGCGCTTTATGATCGGACGCGCACCTGAACTTCGAGCACGTTGTTGACATTCTGCTGGTCGTCATACATTGCGGGCAGGTCGGTTGCGTAGCGCCACTCGTCGTCCACGATGAACTTGTACTGGTAGATCCCGGGGGGCAGCATCTTGATCAGCGTGAAGTCCTTGCCGGACTTCTGCAGCGGTTGCCTGTGAGCAGCAAATCCGGAACATCAGAGTCAGCGTCAACTAGAGTCTCGGGTGTCCCAAGCGAAATTGAAGGATTCTCTGGTTGAAAGCAGGATTACAAACGACCCTGGTGCAAGCACCTACAAGCCAGTCACTGCACTGGCGGTTTCTCAACTCTCAGAACTTATGAGGTTGAAGCAGTTTTTTGGCTCCTGTTTTCAGCTCGGGTTCCATTTGACACTCCAAATGTGATCGTTGGCATTCCTGCTAACAGGCTCGCCTCTCCTGATGCTTTCCATCGGGATGTGCACGTTCTCAGTACTGGTGCGCTCAGTTCGTCCCAATCAGTTGTCTCAGCCGGCTTACCGCCAGTTCTTGAGCATCAGCTGTTCTATTGGCTGCTGACACAGGCGTCATATGATGTCTCTTATCAAACAAACACTGATTGCGATTGCGGGAAAGGGAGAATGAATTCTCCAAAGACCGCTTGAGAAGTGCATTCTGTTGCTCGAACTTCTTATGAGCTTAAGGTCGATGTCGAACTAATGCAACCTCTGGGAAGCTCACAGATATAAATTATCTGGAAGGAACAAACGAGTGCGGCGAGAAGGGCAGGTCAAACTGTTCCTGGTGGAACGAAGGTGACCAATTCCTCACCTTGGCTACCTTATACACAAAAAAGAAGAATGCTGCCGAACCAGATTCGGAAAGGAGGAAAAGTCCCAGTGAACAATTCTGGTTACTGCTGATTGAGCAGAGAAAAGAACAGGTCATTGCACTACTCCACCCAAAAGATCCGATACCATCGGATGGCGACTGCATCATGAGAAGAGGAGGCACGAAGTTCCACTAGAGCCGGAAATAGGCATCAAAACTGCCCAACGAACAGGAATGAGAGTGGGAATGCTTGATTGACCGTGTGGTCCAATGCCAGGAATCTTCCATACTGAGTGGATTCTAGAAGATGGCACGCACTTTCTGGTGCAATTACGGGCGGTTTACGGACTGGTCAACCAGATGAAACAGAAAGACACTGCTCGACTCACCGTGTCGTCCAGTTATCCCAGGACCCTTCCACGCTGACCGATGTCCCTGGGTGCGACCACACGATCATGGTGGGCACCCCTTGCTCGTGCGGCTGTTGCTCGTCCATCCCTTGCTGGCCATACCCCCCCGAGCCGTACTGCCCCAAGCTGTACTCGTCGCCCCGGGGGATCGGAACCATTGGAATCTGGAAAGACGGGGTTGCAACATTCAGCAGGTTGAAGGAGAGAAGGTGATGAGAAAGGGGAGAGGAAAGAGGAGGTAGTGCAATGACAAAAGCCTGGAAGCAAGAGGAGTCGTGTCTGTCGACGTGTTGGAAATGCGGGGGGAGTCTGAAGAAGCTGAACCAAACCAAAGAGGCGGGACAGGGGTGTGGAGGCGAACGATGGAGGGGAGAGTCAAGAGCGCAGAGGACGGCAGTCCGTGGGGAGCAAGGTTGTTGTCTTATGCTCTTCCGTGGCGAGCAAGGTGTTGTCTTATGCACTTTCTCCTCTACCATTTGCGCAAACAGTGCCCAGGACTTTCAGACCCCTTTCAAATAAGCCTGGGGCTAAAGCAAGGAGGACCGAATATCACCCCATAAGTAGTGTAACCCTCAACCACCGTCCTCCAATGCTGCGCTTCGGTATTTTCTTTGGCAAGCACAACGGCGTGGACAATGTGCTCACCTGTGGGGTAAACATCAGGGGCGAGCGAGCCGCGCTCCCCGGGCTGTCGGGGGGGCTGTTCTGCATTGACTCGGACGACGGAGAGTGGCCGAAGCGGGAGCCCCCAATGACCCTGCCCCCGTCTGCCACCGGACGGCCGTCACCGCGCGCGCGGCCTTCCTTCCCACTCGTGTTTCCCATGTCCTGACCACCACAGCTGTTTGCTTTTCAACTGAGGAAGTGCACCCTCAACCAGGGCTCTTGATTGCTACTTGAGAAACACTGCCTTAGGTGCTAGCCTGGCGGATGCAGCGGCAAGCGCTCGCGTGAGGGGAAGTGTTGAGGGCAATGTGGCCCGTCGGCGACTTGCAATGAGACGCCTTCTGAAAGTCCAGAGAGAAAATGAGGCGGCTTGCTATGAAAAGTCAGCTGCAACAAGGTGGTACCACTATGCGGCAGGGAATGTATCAAGCTCGGGACGCCCACAGCACAAGGTCGACGGTCGGGTATTGCCAAACCCTAAAGGCGATTTGGCAAAGCTTGGACACAAGCTTTACAGACTCCTGCTGCCCAGCTCCGATGTTTCTTCTTTTACGATATCTCAAGCTTGAGAGCACCCCTCTTACGAATGACAAACCCGCTTTCCGCCAGTTCGTCTTCTATCTGCAAGCAGCGGGGAAATCAGGCATCTGCAAGTCTGCAAAGAAAGTCCCCCTTCCTTGCGCTCGCAGAGACGTTGCACATGTACTAAAAGCTATACGCTTCTGCTGAAGAAGCCTTTTGAGATTGGCAATCTGTGGGGACTCGGTTCAGGCGCCAAGAACACTGATCCCTTGACGGACCACCAGACTCGGACTCCGAGGAGAATGCAGAGCTCTCTGCTCTCGAGTGGGAAGGATTTCCTATGCTTCATATTTACATTTTACGCGCCAAGCACACATATTGGAGTCTGGAGGACATATTTGGATCTTAATTGGTGTCTGTCCGTACCAAGCGATCTGGTATCCGCGGGCACAGGGTGCCAGGGCCCCTGCAGGTAATACCCACCCGGGCATGTTGGCATTTTTAACATTCTTAATTCAAATCTTCACAAACAAATCTTAATACTAGCGCAGTCCCCAGCCATAAGCATAAGCCGCAAGCGCCCCTAGTTAAAGTTGGGGGGAAAAGCGGCGTTCAAGTTCCTCAAGTTCCAGCCTTCCTGGGCATCCAAGTTCCAGAAGTTTGTTGTCATTGCCAATTGGCTTTGATTTGGAAGCAGCTCCTTGTCATTGTCAAGGAGCTGAGGGTTGATCATTCCATTCACCGTGTCAGCTCACATATGAGCAATGGCTGCAGCTTATAGTGTGAGTCTGGATCATGAGGAGGCTCGGCGATTGGCGGAGCGTGGTGGCACACTTCTGCTTCTTGATGTGCCTCATGGGACGTCCTTCGGCATTGATCAACAGGTGTGCTGTGAAAAGACCTTATCACGAAAGTTTACAGCTCAGTTGCAGATGTGCATAACATTTTGTTGGCTTTCTTTTGAATGGTGGTGCATACGCAATGCTGTGGTTTTTTCCTTGCCAACAATAGATTGTCTTTTTAAAGAAACTGGAGTCTTGATTGCTGTCAAATAAGTTTAAGCATGGCATGCGCCATGCAATCAAGCTCTTTGTCGATCTTCAGTTGCAGTCAAAAACTTGATCCTTCTGAAGCACTCGTCAGTTCTCAATTTGTCCTTTCTGTTTCTCAAGGGTGCCAAACTTAGCGTCACATTCTCGTGCCAGATGTTTGTGACTGGGCCCCGCTTCAAAGGCGTGAAGATGCTTCCCCCCGGGCCGCATTTTGTGTATTATTCAGCTGCGGGCAAGCATGGTGGTGCGGCGCCTGTCATTGGCTTCTTCGTGGTGCTCAAACAGGGACAGGTCAGACCACTATTCTTGAAGCCCCTTTGAGTTCAAAGTCTTGATTCTCATTCTTCCCCCTGTCCTGATCCCTGAACAATGCTTGATGAGTTTTTGGATAGAAACAGAAGTGCATTGTTCTCAAATCCAGTGATGGGCGCCCAAGACTGCCTCAGGAAGGGATTGTGAAGGCATGCTGAAGCATGGACAAAGTTGTCAGGTGCCTTGAATGGCCCGTTCTTCAAGCTCCCCCTCACAATGGCTCTGAGTCAAGGCGCCTTGTCCCTGGAGATACATGACTTGCCTTTTGAGAGTTGTAGTACATTCAGGGACATGGACAGAGGTTCGATGAGAGGTCTGATGACATGACACATTGTTAACTTCTTCTCTCATACTGTTGTCAGATAGTCAGACTGGTAATATCTGGCATGTAGAAGGTGCCCCTTAACTGAGGACCTTGTGTGATTTGGACTCTTGTGGCCTCTTGTAGGTGGTCGTGCGCCAGTGGGATGCGCCCGAGGAGCGCTTGGCAGCGCTGACTGACGAAGACCAGGTGAGATATACAGACCTAAGCTTTTCTGTCGATTCAAATTTTACACTTCCTTTCAAATGCATCTGGGTTCACCTTTGTGGATTTCTAAAGATCCAAGTTGGAGATCGGCTTAGAAACAGGCGTTCGGAGTCATCAGATAAGGAATGTCAAGTGGAAGAAGCAACTTTTCGTTCAGTTGTGTAAGCACGACTCTCCATTAAAAATACTGAACTAGAAGATGTAGCAAGGTGTAAGAAGTTCTTATGCTTGCAGAAACCGTGAAGTTGTGCATCGACCTTCTGCAGGTGGATCGGTTAGCTGGGGGCGTCAGGACATTCCAATTTGATGCAGAGCTTGGCGCTTATGACCTGCACAAGTACGCGGCCTGGCAGACTCTGAGCAACTTCATTACCGACGAGGTGGTGCAGGCACACGGTGAGACTGGGAGCCCTCTGAGCGGAAGACTAAGCGGTTGCTTGAGTATTCTTCGAGTACTATCAGTTGCTCATCACAGGCCAAAGGCGGTGGAGGTCGACCTTCTTATTTGCCAATGTAGTAGTATCTTCTGTCACATGGCGCCAGTCTTATCCAGGATAAGCGCCCGATACCTTCTGTTCGCGCACACAATGACTGTTTGCAAGGACGTCAAACTGGAGGTAAGACCGCTGGGGACTCAAGAGATGTGAATCAATCAGCTGTTTATTTACCAAAGAAATAAACAGCCATTGAGTGTTTGAAGTTTTGTCCCGATTCCAACTGCAGAAATTGGAAACGTCAGATTTGAGTGTTCAAGATTTGAATTGTGGTTGTCGGAATTTACCGAAGCCAAGGCTGCAGAGTGCAAAAATAACGTTTCTATGATCCACTGCTGCAGAGCCTGTTGGGGGCGACATCTGCGTGGTGTGTGAGGCTGACGTCAGCGAGACGCGGCCGAAGACGGGGGCGGAGAGGGTTCTTCAGGAGCAGATTGACCGGGGGCGAGAGCGCGCTCAAAGTGGAGGTCCTTCTAAAGATACGAGAGAGAGCGTCGATGGGGCGGGTCCGCAGAGTGGGGAGAAGCTGCTGGCTGACGTCACTCAGGGCGTCATCATCATGGACCGGGGGGAAGACCAGGAGGCGGCTGCCGAAAGTTTGGGAAGGGATGCGATGTCAGGGGGCTTAGTTTTGGAGGAGTCGGCGGCAGAGGGACAGGGTTCGGGGCTGAGCCGAGTGGACCAGATTGCGCTCATGTACCAGCGGAAAGAAATGAGGAAAGGCGGCAGCACAGCGGAACTCCGGCGGAAAGGGAACGGTGCCGAAGATATGGACGTAGATACACAAGAAGGAGCGCCTTCTGGCGTGGAGACAGTAGACGGGTCTGTTGCAGGGCCGAAGGGAGCTCATGTGAGGGGGGTGGCAAGCGAGCAACTAGAGCGGCACGACTTCGCCGGGCTGAGGGGCATTTCCCATCCACCGATGGCTCCGCTAGACTCCATAGCAAGTCCTTCAAATAGCAGCAGGCTGGCATCAGGAAGAACGTCAGATTCGAGCAACGGGAAGACGTCAGTCGGCGAGAATCGCTCGGGGGAATCCTCGGGGCTTAGGGAGGCAGGAGGAGAGGCCGGGCCCAGCAGCTCGGGGGAAAAGCCCCGAGGGAGAAGCGGCCGCTGCTTTTACACGGACCTGCCCCGGCTGGTGAAACGGAAGGGGATGAGCGCGACGGAGCTGACGGCTCTTAACTTAGATAAGGTGAGGATTCGCTCAGATGCATACGCTTTGCGAAATGTTTTCGAAGTCGTCGATAGTTTCTCCCTCAAGCCGTTCCCAACACCTCCTGAATATACTGTCCAAGCTTTTACGTGTAGGCTATTGCTCCTGATTCGCAGTGGCAGGTAACGCGCATGGCTCAGAGTGGCCGGGCGCGGCAGGTCTGATGCTAGGGCTGGAGCGCAGTTTTACACTTAATCGGGGACTGGTGTTGAGAACAATGCGGGCATGCTATTTCGGTGCATTGTTGTAGCAGGTACTTTTGAATGTTTGTCTCGTTGTATAAGAGGCCGCAATGTTGATAGCATCCTTCTAGGATCGATCAATGATTATGGTGGGCATGCTGGGTCTCTTTAGTGTATGCTGTGCGTTGTACTGCTACGTCCGCCAAGGCTTGGGCGGAGGCTAAACCCCCTTTGTGACTCTTTCAAGGCTTGGGATCAAGAAAACAGAACTCTCAAACGCGTATGGAGAGCGCCAATTTCTATCATAACAGATGCAGAGATCCTCGAAAGGGCGACTCATACCACCAAAGCAGAAAGTCGTGTTAGTGAAAAGAACATGGATGCCAGAGAGCTATTACTGTCTCACTCGCTTGGACGTTGCTCTGTGCAGAGCGGCTTGCTGGAGACGGTTCTGTCGAAGCAGTACAAGGGACGGGAGGAGCTCCTGCTGGGCGAACTGCAGTTCGCCTTCATCGCATTCGTGGTGGGTTGCCCAGAGCCTCCACATGGATTTCCTGTCGCATTTCGTCGAAACATAACAAGCGCTTTCCATGTCGAAGCGGCAGTCGCTGCGCATTCGCAGTAGGCAAACTGCCGGAGTCTGCACAGAGGATAACTTGGAATGATCGACGTTCGGGCTTTTTTCCACCGAGAAGGAAGCGTACACTTTCTCTCTGATACCGATTGATTCACAGAAATCTGATGGAAAACGTAATGTTCGGAGTGTTATCAATCCTCGCGCTTTTCCAACCCAAGAAGAAGCAGATATCCAACACTGATCGAGGCGCTGTCATCTGATGTCGAATGCAAGACACAACCTCAAAAAAAGCTTAAGGCGGTAAGTTGAAGGCAGCCGTGCTGTCACGTTGAGATTCTCGCTTGTTCTGCCGCAGATGGGCCAGTCCCTCGAGTCGTTCTCTCAGTGGAAGGCCATCCTGCCCCTCATGCTGGGCTGCGTCGAAGCGGTGAGGACGTCGCTCCACTGTTGGCCCTCTTCGTTGTTGTCATATCCCTTGTGAACAAGATCATGAGACACGGGGCACAACGGCGAACGACAGCATCCAAAGCGTGGCCGCTTTGCATTACCCTTTATTAACTTCTTGTCCAAGTCGGAGCACTTAAAAAATTCACACGACAAGAATATTAAGACCCGGTTTGCGTAGTGGGCCTCCGCTTGTGTCGCACGACGAACACACGGAAATGCACTCTAGGGCGTCCGCAGAGTAGAGCTCCAGGTGGCACTCTCGTCGATATATGATCATTTTGGAAGTCCGGTTTCACTTTCTTCTTGCTATTCGAGCTGTTAGTTAAGCCGGCAGGTCCTGGATGCAACTGCCGTCAAAGCTTCGGTCGCTATCGAAGTAAGAATACACGACAACAAAATTCGGTGATGTCGTTTCCTTGCAACTTGGCGTCCACACGCCTCGAGAGGCTGACGTCATGCCGACTCCTTGTTATGCAGCCTCTCCGCACACGCACCCGACTGTTCGTGCAGGTAAGCTTGACGTGTAAGTGGTTTTGAGGGAAAGTCCAGACTGGAGGTTTGCGAGGTCTGATAATATGTGCTGGCAAATCAAGCTCAAAACTTGCTGGGGATTCCAAAACGGCAAGAAGAGTGCCCAAGGGAAAGAGAGGAGTTCAATCAGGGGAACTTCAGGTCTCCCTCACTAAACTTTGAAAGACGCTCTATTTTGCCTGGTCAAAAGCGATCGGGCTTTCAGTATGCTCTGGAAAAACCTGCCCGGGAGCATGTCGAGAACATGCGTTACGGAGTCGAGTAAGCGTCATGACCGGAGCTGACGCTGAGACAAACGTGCGGGTGCTATGGGAAAGAAATATACAGTTGGTTTCCTTGCTTTTACCGCCACGGACCTATTCAAACTCGTCGTCGAACCATTTCCCGTCAATGGAGGCCAAAATTCAGAAGATTTCCAACCCCAGCGCCGTTAGCGTGACAAATCCCTGCCGCTGTCCGGCCGCTACTCATCGAAAAGGCGTTGTTCGTGAACAACGTCTTCGAAGGCCTACATCTACGCTGGTTTCCGCTTCAGCGCTTACGGTACAACTGGTTTACCTGACCTCTAACTTGTCGTGCAGTTCCTGAGGGCCCTGTACTGGCAGTTGCGGCACGGCCTCCTGCCTGAGTCAAACCGCGGGGCGGGCGACGCGCTGCTGGACGAGGCCTGGCTTGAAAAGGACAGTTTTCTGCAGCACCTCCTCGCGGTGAGCGCCCTGTGCACTTGTCTCCGTCTTTCTGTCAACTTCTCTTGCTGATAACCGATCACCCTGATAGCCAATAGGTATTAACCGTCAGGGTTGGGTTTGATAGTAGCACACCAAGATGAATCTACAGGGTCCGCTCATCTGGGCCTGCGCGCCTAGCATTGTTATTTGGAATGTTTCCTTAGTAGAGAGATTAGTTCTACACAGCAGGCTGTATGCGCCGTTCAAGGTTTCTGAAAAGCTGGTCTTGGAGTGTTACTTAGAGTGCAGCTTTTCAATCATACCATACGTTGATGTCGAGAAGAGGATCACCTTGCTGGCGTTAGTACATCTTGCGTTCAACGTGCGGGACGGACACTACTTTTGTACTCCTGTGTAGATCGGAAGCCGCCCTTATTGTTTCTGTGCTTCTGTTTGGCAGGGGTTCTTCAGCACCTTGCGAGAAGCGCAGCCGATTGACGGGGAGCTCAAACAACAGGTGGGGCTCAGAGCGCGTCTCGTTGCATTTTCATTGCTGCACTGACGTGCTCGTCTGTTCGGTATGACGTCACATTAACGTCTTCATTGCTGCGCTTGACGTGCTCGTCCGTTCGGTATGACTTAACTCTAGCTTCTTCATTGCTGCGCTGACGTGCTCGTCCGTTCAGTATGAGGTCACTTCAGCGAAGGTGGTGAAGCGCATCCCCTTAGTTGATAAGCCCTGACATATACTAGTGCAACTTTGGAGATTATCCAGAGTCCAGTGTTGATTTTGAACTCGATAAGTGTTGTTGTTGTGTGCTTCACTATCCCCTTTGACTTGTTGATTCACCATAAGAAAACAGCCTCATCTCTGTGGGTGGAGGCTCGGAGAGGAGCTTGAGTTCGTTCAACGCGAAGGATATTGCATTTCCGTCCCTTGAGGTTCATTCATACTGTCTTTTAAGCAGGTTCTCTCGAGTCTGGCCGCTTTGGCAGAGGCGTTTGAGCATGTACAAGCGAGTCACTATTTACTATTCTACATCGTCTTTGAACCCACACACGGAAACGTCAGACTCCCATAACTTTCATAAAACGGAGTCATCCTTCGGCTGTGCAGGCAGACTCGCTTCAGAGCCTGTTGGAAGGGTTCCTGGGGTGGCGCCTCAGCGAGCCGGAAGGGGGATCCCTCAGCGACGAGGACGATGAGGTACGCACTCTTCGATGCGGAAAGAAGCCGTTTTGGAATCTTGGATGCGCGCTATCGCACATAAGCTGGAGTCTTTGCATCATTGATGATTTGCCAATTGTCCGGCGGCAGACTTGCATCTGCATCTAGAAACCCCAGACGCTGCCAGGATGTTGAGTTTCCAAGGAGCTTAGTGTGATTTGGGTTTGGTTGTCTTAACGAGCACATTTAAAGACGCCACATCAAAGGTAGAAGCTTCGCGAGGATTGTGTTGCGGGTAATGGACTTGCGGTATCAAGGGCCACCTTGTTCATTGGTAAAACCTGCAAAGTACTGAGAACACTGACACTCCTGTTGCCTTGCAGTATGCACCAACGGTGGTCTACTGAATAAGCAGGTTGCTCAACAAAGGCCTAAAGGATGGGGAACGCAATACAGCTTTCATAACACGAATATTTACGATGCCTCTCTTAAAATCTGTCAATCTTCTTCGACTCTGAGCTATGCCTTTGTAACCTTACTTTGAGTGCACTTTCTTGTCTTCAAGAAATTGATAGCTTATGTGAGTCCTCGTCGATGCGAGCCAGCGTGCTACAGCTTTTGGATCAGAATCCTTAAGAGCGAGCCCCAAGTGAGTCGTTGCCGGTCTGCCAATGAAATGAAAATCGACTTACCGGGACACACATGTCGTGGTCGCCTGAGTAGATGAGCACCCGGTAGCCCTTCCCGATCAGGTTCGCTATTATTCGGCAGCTGGGTTCCTTAACGGTTTTCTTGACTTTGAGCATGGGCGATACAAAATGGCCTGAAATGACGCATCTGTCATGCATGTTCACTGAAATCTCCAGCTTAGTACTCAGCTCCCAGCATGCAAGCTTATAATTTTGTTCTGAGGCTATATGTATATATAGTTTGGACCTAGCTTAAGCATCATGCAGTGCAACTGACGCGACCGAATCACTTCGTGCTGACTTTGCAGGCTTGGCTGCTTTGCCTGCACCGGACGGAAGTGGCCGGCAAAAGTCCTCATGTTCCCTATATCCCTACAAACTGATCACCTCCACCCCTTCAAGAAGTCGGCACAATTAGTACTTTGTACTCTGGTCGAAAGCATATATGATTTACGTGAAGCTAGGAACCGCCTTGGCCGCCATATTGCAAGCGGCCACTGGCGCAAGTACGACGAAGCATTCTCCTTTTATTAGTGTCTTAGACTTCAAAAAGTGTGAAAATATTTCACACGCGGGATCAGTGCCTCCCAAGGTGTACGCGTGGATTAAAGTGTCAGATCAGCCTGGAGATGGTTCACATTGGACTTCGCGGAACAGATTATCCTTCTTCGAAAACACGAAGTTACTGCGATGACGGAAGCACACGTCATGGTCCGGAACGCGCTTTGCGAACGGTCAAATTTACGAATATCAAAAAACTTTCGGCATCGAATAATGGACCCAAATGTCCTCCGTAAAACATGTTTTACGATTATGACGTCCGAGTCAGCGATCGAGTGGCTCAGATTCACTCTTGCGCAGTTCGGCCGAAAGTTATGACGTCAAAGTGTACCAAGTGTACACAACCAACTTCGGACGGTTGTCCGAACGAAAAAAGCCGGATTCTGGTGCGGACTCGGCCGAAATCCTACGGACATAGACATGAACACATGGGGGGGCCGTCTGGCGACGGCCAAGGCTTGCCTCTTCCGATTTATCGAACGGCTGGATTAATACCCCTAAGCACACAGAGACGACCCGGGCGCAGAGGGTCCAGTACACAGGTCTCAGTTTCAATTTTCGACTCGGAAGGCTAGAAGTTTCGACGTCGGTACCCTTCCATGCACGAACTTCGACGGCGAAGCTCTGCCGAAGCACCCTTGCTCGGAAGCAGCGACCAAATAAGCAGGCTATCTTTTTGACTGTCCGAGGTACTGTCATGCGAGCTTGCGTCCGTCGATCGTCGGGCGCCAGGCCGCCTTAGCGGCTCGATAGGAGCTTCCGTGTGACATTTAATGCGCATTAAAAGTTATCTTCAGTTCGGTCGCCCAACACGAGTTCGGTCGCCCAACACGAGTTCGGTCGCCCAA